TCCGAGGGGAGACTCGCAACCCTGCAGCAGGAATGGAAGGACCGGCAGGAAGCGGACGCTTCCGATCGCCAAAAGATGCAGTTATTGATGAAGCGGCTGGAAGACAATGGSAATGCAGTCGCCGAGAAGCAGAAGGAAGTAGACGATCGTGAAATGGTGGTTCAGGATGCTATCAACGACGTTGAAAAGCGGCTGACAGAGCTCCTCGAAACCGAACAAGAAATGGCGGAYCGGAAGGAAAAACTCAACAAGGAGATTGCTTCGCAGTGGAAAGCCTGGGAAGAGGAACGCGATGCRAAACGACGCGAATTTGAGAAYGAACTGAGTGGACGCCAGCAGAAATTCGATTCCGAGTTCAACGAGCGCCGAGAGAGACTTATCGTAGACTGGAGGAAACAGAAAGCGGAATGGAAACAGAAGCTAGTAGAGGAGACAAAGGCGKTCGAARCAGAACAGAGCAGAATACGAGAATCCAAGGAACGCGAGATTGCTGAGAGGGAAGAGCAATTCCGGGAACAACGAACGAAAGAAGTCGCCGAACTCGAAGCGGAGATCGTGGCGCAGCGAGAAGAGCTCGAAAGTCAATTGCAGTATGAGATGGCAGAGAAGAAACACCAACGCAACAGCGATCTTGAGAAGGAGTTAGTGGAGACGAAAAGACAGCGCGAGAGTGACCTTGASAAGCACTTTGAGAAAGAACTGAAAGAAAGACTCCAACAGCTCGAACTCGAAATCGCCGCAAAACGGGAGAAACGGAACAGCGAAGAACTGACGGCCAGAAAAGAAATGGAACGACTGTTAAAAGAAGAAAAGGAAGCCCTCGATCTCGAAATGACGCAACAACGCGAACGTTCCCTCCAACAGATCAAAAAAGAGCGGGATGAGCTGCAGAGCAATATCGAGACTTTGCTGACTCAACAAACCAACCATTACGAACACCGCAGATTGGAAGCAATGAGGAAACTCTTGAGTCGTCCGTGGAGACAAGACCGAGAGGCTGTTTCCGCTGCCTATTCCAAATGGGTGAGGGTCGCAATGTTTGAAAATGCCCAAGAAGAACAGGCCGGACTGGAAGCAGCCCAGCAAGCGGTGGAGAAGTCGCTCCGCGAGCTGGGAACCAATCGCGAGTCGTTGAAGAAGATGATGACAGACCTAGATGCGAGATCGACTGCTGTTGAAACACTGGAGCGTGAGATCGCTGAAAGCAAACGACAAGCACAACGGGACACCGAAGCCTTGGGGGAAGCAAGGAAAACGATCGATACAGAACGGGGGATATTGGGGACTGAGAGAGAAGAAATATGCATACAGCGGAAAMGACTCGCCGAAGAACGAGATACTTTGCRACGAGACGAGGMAGAGTTTCGAAGTCGCTGTCAATCGAAGAACGACATGGAGAAACAAAAGCAACAGGACCTGGTGGAGAAAGGGAGAAAATTGGACGATGAAAGRTTGCAACTGGATAAAGAACAGGAACATCTGAAGGACGAATTCGAGAAACTGAGAAAAGAACGCGAGAATCTATTAGAAGCCAAAACCGCTGTGAGARTCTCGGAAGMGTATTSCGAAAGTCGAACGAATAGCTTGGATGATCGGGAGCGGTCTTTGATCCTAGAACGAAAGACATTCGATGAAAAGGAGAAATTGTTGGAAGAACGAGAACGACAATCCAAAAAAGAATTCGAAAAGAAAAAACACGACCTTGACGAGCAGGAACGATCCCTGATCTCCATGCGAGAAGAGCTCAACAKCACCCGCAGAGCCCTGGAGGAACGAGAGAAAGCGCAGAAACACGAACTGGARGACCAGGAGCGCTCCTTTGTCACCGCACAGGAAGAACTCGACAAGAAGCGCCGGGCCCTGGAAGAACGAGAAAAATCGCAGGGAGCCATTTCTAGCAACGTAGATCGAGCGGTGTCTCAGGTCCTCGACCAGAGCATGAACTTTGAGCGGAAGTGGATGGAGGAAACTGCCGCGGCCGTCTTTGAGCGGGAAACCGAGCTGAACAAGAAATACGCAAAGCTGAAGCGGAGGGAGGAAGACTTGAACCARCGTGAGAGAGAAATATCTGTCGTTTCCCAGGACATCGCAGTGCAGCAAGCCCGGATACAGGCCCGTKCGGATCAATTGCGGAACATGGAGGAAAACGTCCGGAACGCAGAACWTTACTACAACAMGGAGCTCCGAAAGTGCAAGGAAACGCAAAAGAAGATGGTCGATATGGCGAGCAAGCTCAAGACGAAGGGTGACGAACTGAAGCATCGAAGCCTTGGTCTGGACAAGCGCATGAGGGAATGTGACGCCTTGGAGCAGCAATTAAAACACTGGCAAAGTGAGCTGGAAGACGGAGAAGGAGCGRTGGCTGTGTCACAAAATGGAAGCGATATGGGATTTAGTAGCTTCTACAGTAGGTAACAATACCCGGTATGGTACTCGTACTCGGATATAATATTATTGGTCGATTCTCGATTCCCTCAAATGTAAAATGAAATGGGAAATTGGATACTCGTGCTCTTACGTTCGTACCTTGTACCTTACGGTTTACGGTTTACGGTACACTTGTATCTTTTTCTGAAAGATGTAAAAGTATGATGTTAGGATTCGAACRTATGTAAGGTATCGAAAGATAAGAACCACAACCTCGATGTCTTGTGTATCAAAAATAWATGTGACGTCATCTTGCAGAAATAGGTATGTCGCATATCGCGCGTCCTCGCGTACGAACGGCTTTCCTGCTGTCCGTTTCTTTTCGGTCGGAGCACCTCCCGGTTTGCTGCGTGCTCATCGTACKGCTCCGTACGGGAATTCCTCAATGGCAACAACAGAACAATGAAGAAGAATACCAAAGTTTGTAATGAAGCCGAAGGTTTACAACCTACCAAGTTCAAACACAAATTGTCTCTCCACCGAAACATCGCATCGGATCTTTCGGGGAAAAAGTGCAGAAAACGGTTCGGTACGTAGATTCTAGTAGTCGCACTCCGTAGCGTAATAATGTTTCGACAAAAGACGGATTTTAGATACCATGATGTACAGAATCGCACGGTACACCTTCCTCTCATTCGTTTCTTAGCAATTAGAAGTAATGCAAACACACCGAACTCCGCATTTGRTGCCACAATAATTCATTTGTTTTCCTTAATCATATCGATTGCTATTTTCAACCGCAACAAACTCATCGTGCAACTAGGATTGTTTCCTTGTCAAGCTCAACATAATACTGCTCTCCGCCCAATCCAAGACGCCACGCCCATCAATCAACCATTCGTTCAACCGCTACAAATATTTCGTCGACGAAAATGAAGGCCGTCTTTTCGTTTTCATTGCGGTACTTTTACGTGACGATACTATCCCTCTTCGTGCTGCTGATCTATGCCGTACTAGTCGACGTTCACGGATTCGAGAACAATGGAAGCCTTCTGCAACAACGGACGGGTCCTTCTGCTTCCTTCACGGGCCAAACCATCCTCCGACAACCCTTCTCCCTTGGCACGTTTCACAGCCTCACAACGACAAAGTCGTACAGCGATAATTRCAGCTTCCGCATTAACCCCAATCGATTGCGAACGGGCACCACACTTGCAATGGCGCTTGGGGTCATTCCAACCCTKGACAAATGGAAGATCATACCGAGCGGTTCGGTCATTGGAACGGTGAGCAATCATCCCGCTATCGCCGACGGAGACGTCATCACTACCTCCCCCATAGAAAATCCCGACCTGGCCGCACGGCAAACGACGGTCACGACGGCATCGGGTTCCAAGTATCGATTGTTGGAACCGAGGGGGGAAATCAGTGCCGCGGCAAGAGAACGCGAGGCATTSGCGCTGGCAAAGGCGMTGGCGGCGGCGGACGCACAATTTGCGGCAGACAACAATAGTAATGGCAACAATAATGCGATCAATGCTATGCCAGACAGCAGTGAGCGCAACAAAAAGMAATCGAGCCCTGGATTTTTKGGGGGCTGGGCGGGATCCTTCAACGGTAGCGGCAMCAAAAAAAACGCGGCAGCGGTCGAGGAAGTAGTGAACGGTGAGATTTCCGAGGCCCGTAAAAAAGAACTCCTYCGCAGCAGCCCCGAGTGGCAGRACGCCGTTCGACAATACCGGCTAACGGGTGACACCGTGGGACTGGAAGATGAGTACCTGTTGGCCGACAAGCCGGAACGAAGCACCTCCGGWAAGTCCAACATCTGGGAGGCCTACAAGACGGACGAATCGACGGGGCTGCCGGTCGCCAAGGCCGTCCCGGTCTGCCTAAAAATTTCCAGCAACCTCGAGGCAATTTCCCGCGAGTACGAAAATTACCGCAAGCTCAGCTTTCTAGGGATCTGGGAAACCGGCCGCTTTGTCCGGTGCTACGAGTTCTTTCCTGTGGCGGGCTACGACAAGAAATTCCGGGATCAGTGCGCCCTGGYKATTGAGCGGGGGGCCCGCGATCTGAAATCTTTTCTGAACAGCCGCGGAAAGCTCGAAAAGAAGGAATTGAGGGATGCCTGCGTATCGGCGACCGAGTGCGTGCAGGCCCTGCACCGGGCCGGCCTTGTCTGGACCGACATGAAGACGGAAAACTTTGTCGTGATGCCCAGCGGTGAGGTCAAGGGGATCGACCTGGAATCGGCCATGCCGATTGGCGATTATCCCGTTGATTATTCTCCCGAGGCATGCCCTCCGGAGTTCGCGGCGGCCTTTCTGGCGGGCGACGGCCCCTATTTCGAGCTAGGAACGAGCTACGACGTTTGGTCCCTGGGKATGCTGATGCTTGAATTGTCCACGGGGAAGGGCTATTTCGACGGAAAGACGCCGGCTCAGATCACCAAACTCCTGCGTGATATCGACGAGGGCGAAATGACACGCTACCTAGAGAACGTGGAGTGTGACGAGCGCCTCAAGGACTTGATCCGACGGTGTCTCCAGAAGGATGCTCGGAAACGGCCCAACACGGCACAAATCCTGATGCATCCTTACTTTTTAGCAGGAAATCCATTCTCCTTTCTCTCCCCTATGAACTAAGCGAAGAAGATACTCAATCGATGTCCTGTCTTTTTTGCAATTCGCCTTGTCACAYTCGTGATGCAACGCAAACATCTCATAATGTCCGCATAAAATCGATGAGCTGTTTCAGCAAATCCAAACCATGTACATATAGTATAATTTCTCAATTTCATACACAGCTTTAGTTTCTTGAAAACATTCGCCGTGTGAGGCGAATCGCGTGTGCTGCATACCATGCTACATTCGAGTTTTTCTTGCTGCCAAGTTTGGTTTAATATATCAAAAGAGAGACATCTCGTGCACCATACAATAACGATTATTCTGTGAACCCATGCGTAGAATATAACTGCTTTTAGGCAATATTAACGTTTGGGTTTCGACAAATTTACTACTATACAATTCAAAATTCCCTAGGTGTTGGTCACAAATATGCTTCTCAAACTATGAAATCTATTATTTTATTACTAGTACCATTGTATACGTATACAAATTCTATCATACCCTACGCAGGAAACCTCTCAAATTTCGAAAGAACACCGCTTCCATAGCAACCCATAGACATCAGATGATAGGCTTGTTCATAATACTGCAGCTTTCATTTCTGTAAAACAATACCTTTCGTGAAGAGTTGCTGGCGTTTAAGTAACACCCACAACAAAACCCGGGACTCTAATTTTTGGTTCGTTCCGAATTTGTCCTTCATTCTACTTCTGCCGTCATCTTGCCCTTGTCAACAAACGCGAGGCCCACTTCCGCTGTTGGATTCTTCTCGCTTTCTTTCTTTACCCAACCAGTCGCGGCCTTAAGAGCAGACTTACTGACAAAGTTCATTACGGGTCCGGGGACTGAGCCCTTAAGCTTGATGTCGCATGCGTAAAATACACGTGWGCAGTTGGGTTTCGTTGGGTGGTCCTCCACGTGCCAGTGCCCGGCAACATCGTCAAAGTCGCTGGTCTTGTCGTAATCAAGTCTCCAGGTCATGCTACCCTTGCTCGGGTCGTACGTATGGTCGTAAAAAGAGGTGTACTTTAAATAAACCACAATGGCAGTATCGTTCGGGATGCAAAGAGAAAGATGGTGTGTTCGGGGCGTGAGGAAATTACCCAAATGATAGGTCATTGCAATTCAAGCGGGAACGAAGAATAGCTGGTTCGATCAGAGAGCCTATCAAKGCAGGGAAATCGATGTTTGCTTTTGTGTGAATAACAGACAAAATACTCACTCCATATCCGGGAATAACCTTCACCGCCATCTCGGTTTTCATGGTAGAGGTGCCGTCTTCGTTTAATTTTGCAACATAATTTTCGCATTTGCTGACTTTTGGCACCTTTCCCTTGTAGGCGTCGAGATCCAAAATTTGCGACCAGACTGCTTCCTGGGATACAAGACAACATTTGTTTTGGAATTTTAATGAATGAATGAATCGATGAAGCGCGAAAACTGTTTGTGTCAGTGAAAATGATGGATGAAACGCGAGCATTGCTTGCATTCAATAAGAAATCCGGTTGCGTTCGTTTGAGTGTCGTGGGGACAATGRAATTCTCCAAAACATTTTCGACGAGTTGCTGTTATACAACTTGAATATTTTCGTTACTTTTGTTTCAGAGTTTGTGCCGATCCACACGAATGCGATACGGTGCTGACGACACGAACATMGGGTAATCCAATCCGATCCAATCAACTTGAACGCAACGCACCTTGGGTGCYTCAACGTCCTGCACACAGATCGAGGTTCCTTCGAGACCATCACCCTCTGAGATCTGCGTCATGATCGGTTTCCCGTTGTCCAGGATCTTTTCGTSGCCGTCGGTCAGCTCGATGGCCMTAAACGGACCCGCCTCATAAGGCTTGAGGAGTCCCTTGTGGATGTGGGGGGCGTTTCTGTTTTTTTTAGCGCTACAGCAGATGACCGCGGCCGAGACAGCGAACMACACAAAGATCGTGGATATGGAGTGGGTAGCAACCTTCATCGTGGAGGTTCTTGGTCTTAAAAGCGGAGGCTAAACAGTACGATTGGTGTAATCCTTCGCAAATATTAATGACAACAAAGCTGTTGCCGATCGGTGTCAAAGCACGTTTGCTAGTACGAACCGGTACGAGTAGTATCGAAGATGTCTCCATACTGCGGAACCGTACGTAGGGTAGGGTAGCTTTCCTCGTGGTGAACCAACCTTTGTGACGTTTTCTACTGATACCGGTAGGATAGATGACAGTACGTACCGTTCAATACGATTTATTCGTTGATGATTTTGTTTTTAAGAAAGAACGCGTAAGACAATTATGATCGTCATCGTCCGTCCTACCGGTACGAGTAGCGGTACGAGTATGGCACGAGCCATGCATCTGTTCCCTCCGTAGCGTTAACACTTACAGTACCAACATGACAACGTACGGTACCGCAGAAAAATTTACTTCTACTTCGCACAACKAAGGTACGAACCGTCCGGTATCTGCAAGAGGCAGTATGAGTACCTATGTACGTACAATAGTATGTGTATAGTGGTATCATTAGTATTATTCTAATTTGGGATTACAMGATGTGCCGACACACAGTTTGATGAATCTTCGATAGATAATATGATCGATTGGTTTCGTTGAAAAATGAGATCAGCGGAATAGATCGTGGCTGTATTGTRACCAGCCTTACGTGAGAGCGMTTGTAGCGTGCGCGAACAAGGAAAGCAAACCGATGGGGGACGGAGAGCGAATACCCTGCAGTACGGCRTGTTGCAATAGAATAGTTTCYTGTGCTTRTTTAATGCGCATTCTTTCCTATGAAAAGGAAGAAGTTGATTTGTTTGAGAATTGAGGACGTTCAGAGCAGCTGGAGAAGGAATGAAAATGGCATTGTCTTYCCTCCAMTTGTTGTTCTGTGACATSGCAGTATTGAAAGCTACATCGTGTAGTAAGCTTTGCCCGGTTTTGATCTCCCAATTCCTTCCCCATCGTCAGATCCATACCTCTTGATTCAATCCCAAATGCGGYAGGTTCAGATCTCTGCGCGATTCCGCCCTCACAAACCCAGCGACACGAAAGCTATTACAAAACTACGATTCAATCCTATGCATTTTCCAATATATTCTWTCGTGCGCGTCGCCACGCCATGTTGCATCGCTTCCGATCCGATCCGATCCGATCCGACAGAGTTCTACAGCTAGCTCCCGCTGGGGATGTGGCAACACGAGTGTTCACTGTTCCTCTCGGCACCGGCACCATCAAGGGCGTGGTTCTCATTCCCGATGTCAATGCTGCCGTTATCGCCCGGCGGCAGCAGACGCTCGGTCAGCCCATCCTGGTTCGCGCTCGCGCTCGAGTTGGAGTTTTCCGATGTGCGAGAAGGAGAGGTATCGACGCGATGCTCGAGGAATCCGCAGCACGGCGTCCCGCCCCCGTGGCGGTAGGTCTCACCCCCAAACACGAAATAGCCCATCGCCAGCCCCGAGACAACGCAGCCAAGAAGCTCGAGCGAATACGTCATGACCACCAGCATCAGCGTGTACGCCGCGAGGATTCCTCCGGCCCGGAGGCAGACGGACTTCAATCTCGGMAGCGTTCCAGCGAGGGTCGTGGTTCGCTGTTGCCCCCTGCTGGGGGTTTCGGCCTGGTGCTGCCAACAGGCGATTCCCTCGGCAAACACCCCCAGAAAAAAGGTGCAAACCATTGCGGCGACGAATCTTGGGACGGTGTTGAGCGTCCATGATTCGAACAAGAAGTTGAGGCAGTTCCTTCTGGCACTGTGCCCTGCCAGGGTCCAATGGAAGCCCTCCATGTACATGACCATGCCCCCCATGGAATCGTCGCAGAAGAGGTTGCCACTTGGGTAGGAACCGCCTTCCATCGCATCGGTGTGCATGTGATCGTGATCTTGCATGTGCATACCGTGATCATGCATTCCGTCGGTGTGACCCACGAATTCCATGTTCGATTTCCTGCGATGGTTCCGGGGTTTGTTCGATTCAGCGGTTCTCGTTTCTGACCAACAAATTCCGCCTTGTGTTGTTCGCTGTAAGTCGAAGTCGAAACATTTTYTCTTAATTTTACAGCATCGTGCATGCTACCGTACAAGTACAGGTACCGGTAATACGGATTACGAATATCGTACGATCCTCCTWCCTGGCTGTACCGTTCTTTTCGTTACACGGATTTTGTTACTACGGTTCTACTACTAGTACTCGTACTACGTTAGGTGTACCGTACATCATCATCATCGTGCCGATTGTTTTTTTTGATTCATCGCAAAACGGCAGACGACGAAAGCATCATTAGTCAGTCCCCATTTTAAAATCGATTTTCTCCGAAATGTGTGCCAACTAMCGTACTGTCACGCAATACTGTCACGAGTCCAGGAACTGGTATCATCTATCAATACTGTAAACAAAGACCAGCGTTTCCGCCATTCGAACCAACCATCCGATACCCTCTGCAAACAAATAGATTAATTCACACAACAACAAACACGAGCAAATAATAATGATGCCGCAGGGAATCAGCACGCCGGCGAGGATTTCGTCGCTGCTGTTGCTCTCGTTCGTGTCATCGCTCCTCGTAGTCTCGCCCCTGGATGCCCTTTCCTCGCCACACCATACGCAGTGGAGGGCAGGGCAGAGCGAATCATGGACGGTGTTCGGTAGGAGAAGCCACAGAGATTCGATCAGCCGCCGGCGTGGGAATCCCTGGCTGCGATCGCTGTTACTCCCGACGAGGATGGTTCTGGGCGAGACTCTGGACGAAGGCGGCTCGTACGAGCCCATCGACGACGACGACGTATTCTTTGGTGGTAGCGACGAGGGGGAATCCAGTGAGGTAGCAACGAACAAGAACAAGCTGATCGAAATCAAAAGCGAGATCGAGCTCCCATTTTCCGCCGAGGTGGCCTACGATGCATACTCCGATTTGCCGCGGCAATCCAGCTGGTCGTCGTGGCTAGAATCTGTCGAGGTWGTCGAGAACAAATATACGGACAACAATGGCTACAACGGGGCCAAAAAAGTCGAGTCCCTGTGGACCTCCAAAATGTTTGGCATCCGCTACTCGTGGACGGCCGTGGCGGTAAAGAACGAAAGGCCCCATACGATCCAGTGGAGGTCTGTGACGGGGCTGCGGAACGAGGGGATCGTGAGGTTCTACAAGCGGGAGGGGAAAACCTACGGACAGGGACCGACGCTCATGACGCTCCGGATGGCCTTTGTGGCACCGAGGGCGGTGTCGGGCATCCTGCGGAGGTCGAAGAAGCTCTCGCGTTACGTCGAAGAGAAAATGATTGCGCAGTCCCTGCAAGGCTTTCGGGACATTGTGTTGAAGAACGATCTGGAAAAAGAGATAGGAAGCTTTTCCACGGAAGAACGGAGGCACGAAGTGTCTGAGGCAACGACAGCGGCGTCGACCGGTACACTGTCGGAATAATCGAAGCAACCGATGGCCGTGTATCCCCCAGGGCTGCTTTCATGCCTGCAATATGGTATCGTGCCTTGGGTTGTCCTCTTCTAGCCGAGCATAATTCAATGAGGCAAAAATGACGACAAATCCTAGAACAAGCACAGTGACTAAAATGTTTAAGAATACATTAGTTGCGGAAGACGTGCTGGAAAAAATACGAACGAGACTTGATTCGCAAGTGTTTTGAAGGGGACATTCGCATAATACTTTACCTCGTGAATTAGAAAGCAATGGAAGTAGCCACTGAAATCTAGAGCAAGGGTAATCAAATAGATTCAAAATATGTACTATAGGTGATTCCAGTTCTCRAGTTATACAGCTACACAAAGCCTTTGGAGAAGATGGGAACAACGAAGTGTAGTSGCTACCCAAGTAGGCTGTCGCTGTTTCCAGAMGACCGTTCAGATAATATTAAACAATAAATAACTCAATAATACTTAAACTCGTGAACTAGGAGAGGCACTAGGATGTGCAATACAAATGCTCCTATTGCACMAAGGCATCTGAAAAAGTTGGGGGCTTATACTCTGGGGTCAAAGACCAGTTGCTAGTATTAAGGAACAGAGAGTGGTGATGTTGGGGGGCCTTGTGGTGTGTGGACCACAGTCTTACTGGATGGTGACCATGGCAGTTTAGAAAAGAAAATCAAACCAAATAGCATTTGTTGTGTCATAGTTCACCTGGTTTRGCATGGGGAGTGGTGTGCATGAATAGCAAGATCATAGTGATGATGMACATTCTTGTGTTTCTAAGAATGATTTGTAGCAGMAAGGATGACAATGATCTTGTGTATCATGAAAGATRTCCMTTACATGAAGGGAAAGCAGAAGCTGGTAGAAGAAATATGTCAGAGAAGGGGCTTCTGGTAGTAATTGTGGCTGTTTGAGACACCACCTCCTTTTCCTTGGAGAAGGTATCATACACCACTAGTAGCAGAGGGAGCTCTGGTAACCATACAAGTGGTTGATGTTTGGGAGCTGGGAAAATTAGAAAGCAAGTGATTAGAGCTCCTCGGCTTAAGGAATTTTGGTAAGAGTACTGAAGAACAAAGTACTACTCTCATTGTACCTTCTTGAGGAGAGTGATAAAGAAGTGAACAATTTCAGGGAGAAGGATGATGGGGTTGATATAGGTTCAAGACAGCAGAGAGAACCACTTGATTTTGCTCAAGTAGTCCTAGTATAACCTCTGCAATTGTTCTGAGTTTAAAYACATTGGGTGGCAGAAGGCAATAGAATTTCTTGTGTGGTTGAATGAAGACAAAAGGTGCCTGCTATGTTCCCTGGCTGCAGCATGTTGAGAGAGGGATGAAACTTGGACCACAGTTATTGCTGTTGATGCATGACATGAATGCTGTCATGGTTTGAAAGAAGAACCAAACCTTGAAATCTTTCAGTCGTACTAATGCAACTCTTTATATATTCAGAAAAGGTAGAAAAACTTAATAATATTCATCCTTGTTTTTGTTGGTGTGGACTACAGGAGAAGAGACACCAGGAAGCTCAGTGCCATTGAGTTCCTCACTGCAAGGCACAAAGCTCRTTGTGGTACTGTACAAATCATTTCTTGTTAGTAGACCAAATATTTCCAGAGAAGAAAACAAGACGAACCACTTCTGGTGTGCAAATCTTCTTCCAATTGATTTTGCAGAATTGACTTCAATCAGGGCAGTTGATATCATTGCTGTCTAAATTTAGTTATTTGGGCTCATTGGATGCTCCTGCAGAATGTATTTTATTATAGCAAGGGAAGAAGAAGAATATTTGCACAGTAACTGCTGAGAGAGGGATTTTACACCTTGGTTGCGGAAAATGATGTACCAACATTTAAAATAGCAGGTCATTGAAATTTATAAAATTATGGTAGTTTTTGAGCTACTTTTTAGTATCATGTAACAACAACTACTACAAAATCCTGTGTAACTTAACCATAAAACTTTTGTGGTAATGACAGACAGTTTCAACTGTAGTACCTTGGGATATGTACAACAATAGTATGGGGTCATTACCAATTATGAAAAGATGCATGAAAGTGCTGGATAAACAAGGTATATCATTTTGGATATTTTTGGACCACTACTACTAGCCCAGGCCAAATGATGTTGCTTCTTCTTGTAGATCCATCACAGGGAAACAGAAATATTGATGACAAGATGTTTTGGAATAACAAAAACAAGGCAGCAGCAAATCCACAGCCAGAAAGGAAATATCAGAAAACAGCAGTGGGAAGCATACTTAATAACACTGTGGAAGAAAAGTAAAGCTATTTTTGTAAGAACATAGACAAAAAAGGAGAGTAGTAAGGGTACTAAACAAAATAGAAGTATCCTGTAGTAGTTGCTACGTTACTACTAGTCTCTACCACCACAAGCATTAGTACTACTAGTGATGAAAAGCAGAGGATAACACTGGTTGGCTGTACATCTCCTGCTGATCACCACCATGTTTTCTTCATTTTCCCACCCCCTTCTTGCTGTTCTTTCTTCTTTCCTTTTCTTTTTTACTATGATCATCATGCCAWTATAATCTACTTGATGATGAATTGTCCTGAATAGTTTGCAATGGATGGTTGTTTCAAAATCCTTATACAATTGTAAGCAGCTTCTCAATCATTGATCCTCTTATTCTAGGATGAAAGAGTATTCATCCTGTGTGAAACTTTTCTTTCAAGTCAACTCTAGTAGCATTTACAGACTTCCAATAAATGCAGGATCTGACAGCTTTGTTACTACTTGGCAGCCCTTCTTCTTATCTGCACTAACTAGCGTTGTTCTTGTCAGGAGGGTGGTGGAGTTAGTGTCAAAGGAAGAAGGATGAACATAAAAACTTCAGCTTCATTGTTCTAAAAGATTGGTTCATCCTAATTGATCACAGGTACGAGGTCAAAGAATTGCTCTCTACTGAAAATGAGCCTAAGCGCGTACATGTCCCCGTAAATGTGTTCACTTTATTGATACACTCCGAAAAATTGTACCCTTCTATGAATCATACACGAAAACTCTGCTGTAGAATGATCATACTGCTGTAAAAATGTATTTCTCAAAAATTATTAAACGACTGTCTCTGAWGTACAGGAATGCATAGGCAGAAAATCGGACCYTATTCAACTTCTATGACTTATGGCATTGCCCTTACCAAGTTTTCCTTCATACTTGAGGAAATCAAASGATTACTTTGTTTCGATAAAACATCATGCATTGGATCACCTACGTCGGTAAAACTATCATGGGTTTTCCGGTACCGTGAATGTATGATTACGGGACGCACCGAAATCGCCATTCCCTTCGAATAAAATGATGCCGTCGGCAGATTTTAGCAAGTATTCCCCATCCTTGATACCATCTTCAAAAAAATCATTGATTGTGAAAGTGTATTCCTGGCCCGGTGGCAGAGGGATCTCATTTGTTATCTTCTCCCCGCCACGGTATGTGTCGTATGCAGCTTCAGCAAAAACGACAGTTGGATCGTCAGCCGCGGTAATCTCCCATGATGTCTCTTGGTGCCAGTTATCAAATACGATAGTCAAATATACATTTACTGTATTGAAAGTGGGMGCAGGAGAAATAGTTGGTTCTGTAGGAGCGCTCGTCGGGTATTCCTCTGTATTTGGAACGTAGAACATTTTMGTCCGGCCGTTTTCGAAGACCCCATCCCCATCWAGTAGCATWATGTCGGGATTTTCCGTCATGACGATCTCGTACAGATTACCTATCCCTGCRATCCCATCGTTGCCGGCGTCGGCAATAGTAAATCTGTACATTTTTCCCGGTTTGACCGTCACCAATTCGAAAGTCTGATCGATGGTGCTCGTGTAACTACCTGCAGTCACAGCAGTTATCAAGTCCCCCTCTTCACTTTCAATTTTCCAGGAGACTTCTTCAGGCCATGGATCAAAGAATATGGCRACCGTAATCGAAACCGATGATTGGGATTGAGAYGGACTCGCTATCGTTGACGTTGGTATCAAACTGGGAGACGGAGACGGTATCGTYGGAGCTAAAGTTTCCTCTATGAATTGAGTTGGAATCGAAGTTGGAGTAAGCGTAGGGGGCTGCGTGGCCGCTGCATTTGCGAATAAATCGTCAATAGCATTCCACGTTCTGCTRGGGGAAGGTGTTGGTTCAAGAGGTTCAWTTTCTGAGCGACCAGCTGTTTCTGCTGGAGGACCAGACGCCTTACGAGAGGGCTCAAATGTTGGAGACATAATATACGCGKGATCTACACAAAAGTCTGTCCTTGTAGTAGATTCTCCAGAACATCCTGGCACTGTTGTTTCTTYCCCATKCCTTGAGTAACAAATGAGACCATCAGCACAGTCTGAATCGTTGTCACAATCCCCCTGACAAGCTAAAAGCGGCAAGTTTGAAATATCCGGAGGGTTCTCTGGATAAACAAATAACATTGGCATCGCGCCATCACCTATCAGCACTTGATTGCTGATRCGTGGCCCRTTTGTTGAAGTGTTCGTACCACTCACAGTTTTARTAGTACAGAAATCTGTTCGGCTATTATCAACTCCACTGCATCCAGGGACCGACTCTACATTTCCATCTCTCATAAAACAATAAAGACCCTCCGCACAATCCTCGTCACTATTGCAATCTCCTTCGCATTGTCCAAGCTTTTTTAGAGACAGCACAGGTAGCTTTGCTGTCTCRTCAATTCTGGATGACTCATCATGGACAGACGAATTTTGGTCYGATTTAATTGTGCAAAAATCAGTTCGACTTGTATCTGTTCCGACACAACCAGGTACGGAAGTGACACTAGGATCCTTATGATAACAATATAAACCTTCAKCGCAATCATCGTCAMTATTGCAATCTCCTTCACATAATCCAAGCTTCGAATGTGGAGAACCAAATCTCCAGAAAAAAAGATGAATGCCATCTGGTTCTTTCCTTACTGTTACATCCAAATCTGTCCTAGGATATCGAGGCATTTTGTACCTAATTGCTTGTTTTCTCAGGGATCTATTGTCCTGGTCGRCAGAGCTTGGCTTATTGTTGTGGAAAGAAGGCTTTTCACTCGGAGCTAAAGATGGACCGTCAGATGGCATCAAAGAACTGACAGGTGAAGGCTTGYTACTCGGAATGAAGGACTGGTAATCCGTCGGGACTTTGCTTTCAAGATGAGTCGAAGGAAGGGGTAGCTCCTTAGAATTTTTGTSTGCAGACCTGCYTGTAAATGATTCGCTTAATCCAGGATATGGTTCTCGTATTTTTACAACAGTTTGACAACTAGATGGTGGTTTGCTCGAAACATGGCATATMATYTTTTCTATCCAACCATACGCYGCAGRTATGCTAGAGTAGACGGTCGGACGTAACCTCGTCGAACATGAATCTCCAAAAGAGACGATKCCAATTTGGAGACATTTGTTATCTATCATTGCGCATAGTGGGCCTCCRTTATCACCCAAGCCTTCGAAATCATGTCAGGAGAATGAATTGTAGGTGACAGACGCAAATTAGTTGAAATCATTTCGGTTCGACTTGTTCGAACAATAAAAAGGTCTAGACTTACAAGTTGCATCATCGTCGCTAACGCATATCATTGATCCGTCATCGATGAAACCAGCATATTGATCATATGCATTACATWCTGCATGGGGAATTATTKTCATTTTTGCTTTCTGTAGCACTGATCCCTGGTCATTACCAGATTGTAGTAATTCAGATGTGTCCAAAACTGAGTGATGAAATGACCTGCTGTAGATTTCATTCACATGTACGAGTGATGGCGTGAAACCAAACCCGACACCGTAAAGTTCCGGATCGGTAGGAATCKCTATTGTAGCATTGATCAATGCAGTTTGTACATCTACYGTTTCGTTCAGCTTGAGAATCATGAAGTTGTTCAAGAGATTTTCTTGATTATATTCGGGATGTATGTGRCGCGATACAATCTTTCGTTTYACTGAACCTCCCTGTTCCTCATTCGACCTATGGGCACCCACAAGGACTGTTTTACTTTTGACTTCATCGCACTGTATATGAAGAGAAACGTCAAGAAGCAATATGCAATSAGAAAACAGAGGAAGAAACAATACGATATCCATAGTCGATTTATTTTCATGACGAACTACGTACACTAGCACTGGTTAAMAGTATATCTCCCCAAATCAAAGTCGCACCACAACCTCCCCATTGAGTGAAGAATGGAAACTCTCCKAGATTCGCATCTTCACTGACTAATTTGCGCCCATTATGTTTCCGGGCTTTCCCACGTAAAGATGCCCCGCGCTTGTCAAATGTCGCGTCAGATTTATCGATCCCTACTAAAACACTTGCTCCCAATAGAAGGTTACGAAGTTGGGTCATTTTCATYATTATTATTTCAAGTTTCCTCTACAAGAGGCGTTGTAATGAGACATCAAATGGAAGACGTTTGAGTTGCCAAGAGTGATTTGTTTGCATTATTTGCTRCTGTAAACGTGTATCTACCACATTTTCCAATTTTGTTGGATGTAATAGCTCATTCCGGTATCATATTAATTATTTTCCTTTTTCTCCTTTCACAGAAACAGAAACGTACGCAGCGTATTACAGTACGTACCGTACGGTATCAAAGAAGAATTAAAAACTTCGTTGGTACGACTGATTTTGTGTCAGCAACGGTTAACGGCGCAATCTTGAGGGCAATTTACTCCATCTCAAAACGAGCGCGGCAGGTCGATTCGACGAGTGATGCCAACGGTAAGAAACAAAGCAAGTAGTGATACAGTAAGTACACCAGGGGTCGTAATTTAGACCCCTGACGTACTGAAGGTACGTTAAGTACTACCGTACATAAAATCTCAAGACAAAAAAAATCTTTATTTTCGTGCATACCGGTACGAGTACGTACGCTTAATTGTTACAGTACTTTGTTGTACCGGTACGATAAAAATAATTCATGACACCGTACGGTATTGCAGTGCTACGTRCTCATACAAGTATTCTACCGTACGATACGGTATGTTTTGCGAAAAAAGACAGCAATATTAAGCCCACGGGTACCCGTTCACTTTCCCTTACAGTACGTATCTTACCGTACGGTACGTACGAGACCTCGCGACCACAAAATACGAGTCACACTCAGGAATGCCTTCCAAAATTCAGAGAGAACTTCGAATTTTAATTAGTACCGGGTACGTAAATAAGTACGGTATCTGGTATGATCACTTCCATTATCTCAAGGGACGTACGGTACGGTACGGTACGATACAGGCAGTATCAAATCGGCGAAATACTGAAAGAAGCAMAACGCCAACTAGGGACCGAAGAGCAAGTTAACATTAACCCCCACATCGTCTGCTCCGACGAGCATTTTTTGTACGACAATTAAAMAGTGCAGTACTGGCATGTTTTCCAGATCGACGATTGGTAATGCAAGATTGCTCCGAGGTAGAACTGGGCAGGGGTCATACCCTGATACTGGATACGTAMTGTACTGCGCATGCAACAGATGACAATAGCCGCAATAAACGCCGATCTACAGTCAGTAAATTTTCAGGTTCACTCAGACTATCAGGCATGTTGTTCAGATTGAACATTTTTGTAAGACCGAWTTTTYGATCGACTCGAAAACACTGAAATAAATAAAGAAGTGCTTGCCGTTGGTTTTGGTCTATTTTACAGTCAATTTATACAGCTGAACTTTTCAATTCTATCGCAACCGGCTGGTTTGAGACATGTGCGTTGTCTCTATGTTTTTGCTAATATTCGATTTGGTCGCTCTTCCTATAGTGCTTTTTTTTTGAAAAGTGGAGTTTTTTCCAACAATCGAATGCATGTGAACTTCACTTCGATCCTGCCCATTGATCCCTTCATACTCGTTCTCTTTCCAGCAAAACGAATAATTCACTACGGTATGCTTTCCTTAAAGGCGCCCTTTAGTAGACCGCTCATTCTGCTGGTCGGTTGGAGCTTATCAAGTTTTCCACTTTGTACACTGCCTCTCAAATTTTTTTGATTTGAAAAAAAAATTGATTGCCGGACAGGATTACTAGTTGTACCCTCAGGTCTATATTTAATGTCGACACAGAAATCTGTGCTTGTGTTGTCATTTCCTTCACAYCCCGGTACATTTTGTACTATCCCATTCGTCTTAAAGAAACAAAAGAGACCTTCTGCGCAGTCGGAATCTTGATCACAGTCACCCTCACACAATCCAAGTGGAAGAGGCGGTGGATTCTCGGGATGTGTGAAGAGATTAACAACTTGTTCTTSTTCACCMTCTTCYGGYTGTTGGAGYAGCTCCGGTTGATCTGATTCTTCTAGTTGGGTACTGTTTCCATCAATTGCTGTATCCCTTGGATTGGCACTAGGAATTGGGTCAGRAATAACACCGGGACAASTTGACGGTTTATTGGAGGAAAATTCACATATTTTTTCTTGTATCCAGTCGTATGAAGAACTAATGCGATGGTATACGCCAGGTTTATCCGGTCTAGCGCATCCGGTCCCAAACGAAACAACGCCAACTTGTATTATCTCGTCAGTTGCATTGTCTCTATATAGCAGAGGCCCCCCACTGTCACCGAAACCTGAGTGGAGAATCCAGACATATAATGAAGAAACAGGKTTTGAAGTGAGATATATTTCTTGAGATTCCAGATGAGATTTAATTCGAAAAATGGTGACCTCGATTAACTTACAGGCATCTTGTCCTCCACCGCTCACTCCGGCACAAATCATGCTTTCCTGAATCCAACCCGGATACATAGGTGCCTGGTTACACTTGCTCGATTGAATGACTCTTACGTTAACTTCTTGCAAGACTTCTGGGAATGCACCATCTACCTCGGCTATTCTGCCCAAACCAAGCGGAGTGACAGTATCGAGTACTGCGGGTTTTGTTGTATCTCTGTTCAACTTCACTTTTCGAACCGAATTTACTGGTTGCGTTAGTTTCAGAAGCATTACATCATAATTCCATGTGTCTACATTGTATTGTGGATGAATAATTCTTCTCTCTACCCATCTCAATTGTGAATTGACAGAYGGCCTTCCTTTGTGGTATGCATGTACAACTACTTGATTTGTTTCGACAGGGTTGCACTGCGTACAGCATTGTTACRTTGTTTTGAGTGTAATCATTCAGAATAGMATRAATAGAAACAGGTTAGGATATCCAAAAAGAGAGGCAGTTGCGCCACATGTCAGAAAGTTTTCGATTAGACTTACGTGTGCAGCTGTAAGCAAAATGTCGTCGTGAATTAAAGTTGCTCCACAACTTGYACCCCAACTTGTAAAAAATGGATATTCATTCACTTCRGCATTCTGACCGCCAACGACCCGCGACTCTGGTTCATCGGCTGTKACGAAAAATGTTTCATGGCAACTTATTGTCAGCAGAATTAAGACCGTAGTTGTTCTATATGCCAAAGACACAATCTTAGATACAGARAAACGTGATGTCATCGTGACCGTCATGATTGTCTTCCGAAAAATGTTTYAATTKTTTACAATGGTCGATCGTATATYAACCCGATTCATCCATGATTATGAGAGATKGYTAAGATCTTCACATCTATCCAATTTAGATTGGATGCCAACCAGAAGAGGAGACCATCATAAGCTGATCACGTCAAGAAAGGTGCTGAATACGCCACAAAACAGACTCAACTAGAAAACAGGAATCGCAAAAACGTTCGCAAGATCTATTACGGAGAGAAACCTCATCCAACGCATCCTCCTCTATGTGACAGTGAATTCGGAGCGATCTCGCCGACAACTTTTTCCTGKGACGTTGGTGATTGTCCTAAGTATTCCAGTCGCATTTTGGTGAGGTTTTCCGCTTCAGGAACTCGTGGCGCACCCAATTTTGTGAGACAACGGAAGAAGTCAATTCAGTCGGATCGGCTCTACACACACTCTTGTCTGGAGTCTTATTGCCCGTCCTGTGACTCCGAATGAAAAAAAACCTTGTCCCATACGGTACGTACGTTCGTTCTCTACGGCAACATACAGCACGGTACCGTTTGTACCTCTAGTACGAAGTACATTACGAGGGACCTATCAACAGGGGTCATAATTTAAAGGGGTTTATGTACATCGCGTCGAAACTCATATTCCACGTGTGGTCCCAATTTCCAAAAAGTCCTCAAGGGATTTTTCTCGTTCTCATTTTTACTGCATAATAGTACTAGTAAAACTATCCAACCTTTAAGCAGTTACAGTTTTATCAAAAATACTACTATTTTAATTTTTGATTAGCCAGTCAAGTCCTGTTTTTAATGCTGATTCTGAATATATCATTTTGTTGGATATTAAGTTGATATTTGTGGTGCTATTTTACTATTGAAAAATGAACATAAATTCTGCTGCATACCCCCGCCCACTATCATATTATGATCATGACCCCTGCCTATCAGTACATATCAGGTAAGTACCCTAGTATGTGGACAGAATCCATGATAGGTTATGAGTACAATAAAACACTCCAGTTTTTAGCTTTGACCAGCTATCTTTGGTTGCTTGTTAACACTAGTAGCAAAGGACCAATCAGAGATCACGAGGAGGAATCCCATTAGTCACCAGAAAGGGTTTTCTTTTCTCTTCACAACCATGTGCGCATTGCTATGTGAATTTTGAAGAGAACCATTTCTGGCTTGTTGATTTCTCTGCGCACAAAAATTAGAAAAAAACTCATTGAAACAACATCATCATATGGACCTGTCTCACCCATTAGACTGAGTAGTAGTAGTTGTTGTTTGCTGTATTTTGGTGGTACCAAGATGAACAACAACAACAGGACATCAAAGAGGAGAACCCTGTCACTGGCAACGCAGGAACAGAAAAACAATTCTTCTCTGCGAAATTGAATGGTTTCTGACCATCAATAATTATTGTCCAAATGATGGATAGTAGCACATACTACTAGTAAGTCAACTACTAGTATGGAATAGAATCCCGCCCCATAGCTGATGAGACAAAGAATCTTGATGAGTATGGGAGAATGACAAAAGAATGCAGATAAATCTTGTGGAACCATTTCACATTCCTAGCCAGTATGTGTGACTTGTTGCAGGGGGCATGACATACTGGTGTACATACCTTGTTCTCCACACATAAAACAGATTTTCCTGATGCTTGACTTGGTAGGCCACATTGTTTCTAGATGATGCTTCATGTACTCAGACTGAGTGAAGCAGCAAAACCTGGTACAATTAAGCTAGTTCTCAGAAATATTTGCAAGCTTTCTTTCTAGTAGCTCACACCCTTCTAACTTTGTGGTGAGCAGTCTGGTGGGTGAGGAATTGTCTTAGTAGTCTACTGTCACAGTTGTATGCCTGTTCTGTAGGATCACCGTACTTCATCATCTACAATGCCRGTCTTTGTCTGAAGTCTTCAGAATTGCTCATTAGTATCTTGTTAAGCCTCCAAGCAACCCTGACCCAGGGTACCCCCACAGCATTCTCTGTATGTGTCCTAGGTGGTGGCTGTTGTCAAGATCTTGGCATGAATGACAGCAGCATGATAGTTTTTTTCCAAAACTTGTAATCAATGTTGCCTCAGGAGATGTAGGCATCAATGTGATCCATCTTGCCATAGGTTTATAGATAGTACAAAATAATTGGAGCACAATGGTCCTGTAGATGTAATCAAGTTTCTATGCAAGATTACCACCATTTGAAGAACCAGCAGGAAAGAAGGGTCTTACCAAATTATTCTTAACAGCTTAAAGTTCCTCTTGATTTGGTGCTCTCCCATATGTGTCACTGTGTTTGCAATATTCTTATTAAATGAAATATCTTGGGGATCCCATGTATTTGATATTCTCCTTGGCTCCTTCACAGRTGCCATGCAGAAACAAAATGACATCAAAGTGAGCTGCCTCAGCAGGCAGTGTCACTGCTGAGGCAACTTGGTGTCCCTCTCCCTCATTGACATCAACAATGGTTCTATCTTTGTAAAAAAATGTATCATGTGTGGCTAYAGCATTCTCCCAGTCAAATGCCTGGCTCCTATTGTGTAGTCACATTAGAAATCTCAGCTTGTTCTCCTTCCTCATCACTCATCCATCAACAGTTAGATTCATATTCAGCTGGTGCCTGTGTTTTGTAATGAAGTTTGTTATCACTTGGACTGCTGTCATGCTCAAACACACTTTCCAAGTCTAATTCTACTGTTTCAAATGCTGAGGATTGAATGCCCTCAGWTGTGTTGTGGCCTTGTTGTTGCCAAATGCTGGTTGGTTATGTTTGCAAATGGCATGGTAGCAGATACTATCAAGTAATAGTATCAATACTGCTCTTTCTCTTCCTTGCTCTTGACTGCTGTTGCTGCTGTTGTTGATTTCATTAGCCTTAATTGTGTTCATGCTGGTTGTGATAGTGTGGTTGATGGTGTGATTATATAGTAATACTCCTGACTAGTGTTGCTGCTTGCTAATAGTGTTGCTGACTACTACTAGTTTTACTGATACAGTGTTGCTGCTGATACAGTGTGCACCCAAATCTAGTATGTTGTACATTTTGGGCCCTTATTTTTCTGTGTAATGACTACTAGTTTGACTGAAAAAGTAAATGCACACAAAATGCATGTGCTCAGTTTTGTTGAAGTTTCAATCCTACAATTTATGCAACCAGATCGTTTGGTGCACTCGTGCTCCTCACTGACTGATTTTTGCTTCAACACATGCTATTGCTGTAACAGTAATACAGGTTCAAATTTTTAATCCCACAAGAGGGCACAAAATCAACACACAATATAATTCAATTGTAACTATTTTAATCTTGAACTGACAGCTTGAGCTGTATGTTGGTCCCCAATGGACSCTTAAGYATGATAGGCACATGGATCAAAAGAAATTCTAAACAAGATTCTAGTCATATGGGGGAGTTGGAGGGTCCTAGTGGTATTGATCAGAAGGCTGGTAGACAACAACAAGTTTTCAAAATTCTTCACCAGTCTTGCCAAATCAAATAGGGCTAGTATCCTTCATATGTAGAAGCTGAGTTATCCTCAAGGATTTACAAAAATTAGTACAGAGTTACCATATCAGAATTCCAGTTATGTTCTTCCATCTGACAACATCCCATCAACTTCCATTCTATGTATAACAACGCAACCAACTTATTAGTCAATGCTGCCCAATTCCCTTCGTAACATAGTTGGCGTTGTGTTCACTATCCTTTGTCTGATAACTACGGATATATTCCATACTTCTCACATGCAACACTGTTGAAAGAACAGTTCTATTATTTTAGCTCCTATTGGAAATACTAGAACAATTGTACTAATTGCATTACGACAGTACTGGGAGGAGATCAAATGTTGATGGTTGCGATGTTTCATGGAATAATAATCGCTGGAATGTTTCCCACAGATATTTGTGCACATCCCCAAAATCGTTCGACGTCACTGGATCGCCCCACCCGTAGATCCAACCCGGTTGAGCTTGTTTCATGATCGATCGGATTGTTTCTTTTTTGGACAAAGGGAATCTACGAAAGAGCTCACTTAACGTTTCAGCCCCATTGTCAATAAATCCTTGTTCGCTAACTTCAGGGAACTGATCCCACGGAATGTAGTCACCAAATGGCAAGTGAGGATTTTCGGGCCCRCTAATATCCCATCCCCAGCCTTTCTTACAGGGTGGTTCACAGAGTCCACGCAGACGACTTCCYATGAAAATTGGGATGCATCCTGCAACCATAGCCGAAACSAGACTCCGAGAAGTAGGTGTATCGCCACAGAGGATGAGACAATATTCACTGGTGCTCATTCGACTATTGTACTCGTCCTGCGCGAGGCGTTTCCTCTTCGACATAATTTGGACATASGTTGCATTAACATYAATTCCGAATTTTTCAGAAGCATTGGGGACWTTCAACGATGAATGAAGGGACGAGACTATRCCTGTCCTATTACAGCCGGCCCACATAATAGCATTTTGTCGCCCGTCGCCTGCGTAAAAAACACTGTTGCTGACTTTTTTCGAGGTCTGGAAATCATCGGTTTTGTTTTGATGCTCCTTGGGTCGAAGTACGTAAGGAATAGAAACAATCCGGTCCAGATCTATTCTTTGCCAAAACTTATTCCGCTCAAAACCGACGGACCACAAGTTGACCTTGTTTCTTCTCAATATATCTGTTACAGCAAGTATACCAATCTGCCGACTCGTTGTAGGATTCGTTGTCGGCACCAACAGCAGATGGGGCTTGGATGGTTCGATAATGATGTCTTTGTAGTTTTGAGCCAATGCTGGTCCGGTTATGAAACCAACTTTTCTATTCAAGTGAAAATATCCGGGAAGTAAAAATACATCTGCTTCCGAAGGATCCAATGTATGCCCTTCTTCGTAAGATAGATTCTCAAACGCTCGGTGGAGCCACATTTCCGCACTATCTTCATTGAGTGTTTCAGCATAAAATGATGATGCTGACGTTTCAGTAATTTTTGTCAACAGAGATCGAGTTGCATTGGGTGGAGCGAGAATAAAATATTTGAATTGCTTTGCACCAGGTTTGCTGTTCTTGGGTTTTCCGAGTCCTTTCGCAGCGTTATTCTCTTTCGTCTCATTTCTTCCACTGTCAGAAGCCGTATCCATCTGAATGCTGGCAGGTCTGCTGCTGTTGGGTTTTCCGAGTTCTTTCGCATCGTTACTCTCTTTCGTCTCATTTCTTCCACTGCCAGAACCCGTCTCCATTTGAATGCTGGCAGGTCTRCTGCTTTTRGGTTTTCCGAGTTCTTTYGCAGCATTATTCTCCTTCGTCTCATTTCTTCCACTGTTAGAACTCATCTCCATCTGAATGCTAGCAGGTCTGCTGCTTTTGGTCTCCTTTGTCTCATTTCCTCCATTATYWGAACTCGTCTCTACCTGAACGTTGGCRMTGTCGAAGATACTAAATAAATCAGAGTGAATAATCCGAAGCAACGAGACGAAAAATAATACGAATAAAGATCTCGACGGAGTAAGCCATCGTTGTTYCCAACCGGTCTCTAGTTTCTGTTTCGGCTCACKCTTTCGCTTTCTTTTGARTGAGGCAACCATGAAGAAGTTGTATGTACATAAACATACAATRTTTGAATTCAATCGTCTTCGGTGCTTTGTCCGACCAGTCACAGAACAGTACGCACCGTACCGGCATAGCCAATGTTGCCCTGTCGATGAGGAACTCCAGAGGTTGCGGAGTCGCGTCTGTACCACCACGATCAACATTTTCCTTCGCGAACGCCAAGCTGGCTTTATCTTCATACTACTAAGGGTACATACCATACGTACGAAATCTTATCCTCACGAGATGTCGATGATTTCTGGAACGACGAACCCGTACGAGTACTCGTACGTACAAGTACGTACTGTAGTATGGTAGAGATTTCGCATTGTTTCAAAGAAACTTTCAGAAGAATTTTGAATTTTCGATGTGATTGAAATTGCGTACCGGCCTCCACGCACAGTACGTACCAGTTCTCAATAGTAGTAGACAAGTCAATTACGCACCTTCCGTGTGTACTGTACTCTACGGTACACGCTCGTAGGGGTTTTCACATCGTACCTATAGTCCAGTAAAGTACGAGTACCGTAGACCGTAGTAGAGTACGGTACCTAGTTCAGAATCCTTTGGAGACCCGACGCGCGCTACTCACATCAGCCACCACGCACGACGTATCCGAAAAAGACTATGGGGTCCCTTCTAGTATTTTGCTTTTTGTTGATGGCAGAGCAATCAGTTGTTTTTTACTTTCAGAATAWTCATTCGTGAGAGTTCTGGATTACTACGTATTACATAATATTGTACTGTCACCAACGTAACGATTTTTTTCGCATTGAAATATCGACTCATTGCAAATGGATGTACGTTGCTTTCAGTAGAAACTTGACACGAAAGATTGAAAAAAAGTATTGGAGAGTATCCATACCAAACTTTTGTGACTCTCGAACAAAAAATAATATCGTCATACTTCGTWGCGCAGGTGAAGCGCATTGGTTGTACGAATAACTCTGCTATACCACAAAAAGCGACGACAAATTCGAACACGTTAAAATCTAGAATCGACGCACCTACGACTACTAGTCATAATAGCTTGAAGCCCGAAAATAGCACAGCACAGCACAATGAGCACCAAGAACAAGAGCAGCGGCATGTTTAGCGGCGAATATTTCCAAGTGCAGAAGTCGGGCCTGTCCCAATTTCAGGCCATGTCTGCCTACCTTGGAGGAAGTGCCTTCCAGACGATCATGGACAATCCGGTCACATCATACCGTCAGCTCGTTCAGCAATACGCCAAGGACTTGAACGGAAAGGTCGTCGACCCTAAGGTTGCCTCTCAAGAAGCCAAAGCCGTTTTCCGAGCCAACCCTGTTGCCGCTAGTTTGAGTGGTGTGGGACCACGTCTCGTTGGTGTTGGTTTCAAGCGCATCCCTAAATTTGGAGTTCTTTTGGGTATTTCCTTCTTGATGGGAARCGGCGAAAATCCTGGAGCTGTAGCCGCCACTGGTGCATCGATCCTGTCTGCTCCATTTATCAATCCTATTCGTATGATTGARAAGCAACAGCGCGCCTACTTCAAGCAAACAGGGGCTGCCAAGCCTATTGGTGAAATCCTCAGAGAAGCAGCCGCYCAAAATTTCAAGCCGCTCTTCCGCGGAACCATCCCTCTTATGGGACATTCCCTCGCCAGTGCACTCCTCGGTCTCGTTGGACAACCCAAGCTTCAAAAATATATCCAGCAAGAAATCGGCAGCAAGACCAACATGGGACGAACCCTCACCGGTTTGATTGCCTCGGCAGTCGTTTCTCCTATTTACGTTGTTGTCACAAACCCTCTYTCCAGATTGGAAGTTATCATGCAAACAAGCAAGATTTCCGGCAAGTCTATCAGTGTAACTTCGGCTATTAAGGAGGTCATTCGCGACAGCCGCGAATTCGGAATGCGTGGTCTTTTCCGTGGACAAGGTATTGGAATCGGGAAGGCCGTCATTTCTTTGTCTCTCTTCCACGAGGGACGCCACTTCCTCCAAGATGTTTTCAAGAACTACAACATCCAAAATGGATACTACGAGGAACCGAGCAAATAAGCAAGTCGGTTTTCTACATCACAGTCAAAATGATATGAATAAAAAAGCTTGAATGTTGTTTGCCTTCCACGGCAAACGAACCCCGAACCGAAGGACAGGACCCACAGAATATAATGCTATCGATGCCTGTTCGACAATCTTATATGAAAGAAAATAGCGACAAATAGAATCACAATAAATGGACATTCGACTACAGTGTATATTTTGACAAGATTTCAATTTATTGCAATCATTCTTAAAGATTAAACATCGAGGAAGCGAGGTGTCAAGAAGCCCTTGTACATCAATGTATCCATCAACGAAGACGGAAACCACAAACTAACATTATGATTACAATTTTTAATTTATTGCGGAACCAAATATGTAGTASTATCTAATCATCATTCTAGAATTATACTTCGTACGGTATTATCAATTATTTGACATCATTCTTAGAACGAGGACGGATGATAGATACGGCAGACTCGCCAACAATTTCCGTGACTTTGCGGGAATTCTCGATCGCATTTTGGAATTCGGTCTTGGCCTTGGTTGTAAATGTTTTGAAGGTGTCCGTCAAGTCTGTCAGCCGGAAATTCTTGTCTTTTATGAGCCGCATGGTTGACTTTAAGCTTCGACTCGACAACTCATTGTCCGAGACACCAGTGATCCATCGGGATTGAAGTGCCTGCTGCGCCGTCAGCCGCTTGTCGACGTTAGTATTCATACAGCCCTGGATCAGTTCTTTTGCMTCAGTTGAAACATGGGACCAGTCCTCCGGATCAAATATGTAATCTCCTGCTATAATGCGTTTGAACATCTCTTCTTGGGTATCCTCCATAAACGGGGTATATCCGCAGAGCATAACGTACAAGACCACGCCGACAGACCACATATCGCACGATTCATCGTAGGGCTGGTTTTTGAGAATTTCAGGTGCCACGTAGCTGGGTGTTCCGCATCTCGAGACCAAAGATTTAGGTGTGTAGAACCGCTTGGCAAAGCCAAAGTCACCAACTTTGATGACGCAGTTGCTATCTTTCGTCTCGAGCAATATATTCTGAGGCTTTATGTCTCTGTGAACAACCCCGTTCTCGTGCATGTAGCGAACGGCCTCCAATAACATCTTGGCCAGATCACGGGCATCTTTCTCTGTGTAGTTGTTCAACTCGATTATCCGATCAAAGACGTCCCCTCCAGCCATGAGCTCCATCACAATATAGTAGTAATCCTCCTCCTCGAAAAAATCTACGACGCCAACCAAGTTTTCATGATGAAGTTGATTCATGATATTTACCTCTAGAAGAACTTGCTCGTCGGTTTCATCATCTCTCTCAATGATCTTCACAGCAAAATCTTTCATATAAACMTTAGAATAGCACTTCTTGACGACACCTGCCGAGCCACGATGGATTTTGTCTTTGACTTCATATAGCTGGTCGAATGTTTTCTTTTTTGTAAGGGACAAGTTGAGCTTGTGTATCGCCGGGGGCTGTGTAACGGTTCCGCTGAGCGACACCTCCACATTTTCTTGCTCTTCTTCCACGTGCTTATCTGTCTCTTTCAAAAGATCCGAAATCTTTTCGACATGAAAGGCAGCTGCAACTTTCTCAACGGCCGATTTGATAGTGCGTTTCGCATTGAACTTCTGGAKTTCCCGGATACTCCCAGACAAATCTCGAGCCGACAATCTTCGGGTGTCCTCCTGAAACCACGCAGCRGATAGGGATTCATAGGCATTCAGTCTGTCGTTGGGATCAACCGTCAAGAGTTGTGTAATGAGTTGTTTCGCCTGTAGACTCACATTACTCCAGAAGGCTTGGTGGAAGGAGTAATTACATCCACGGATTTTTCGAAACAAACCTCTGTGGGTCTCRTCCTTGAACGGAGGGTACCCACCGAGCAGCATATATATCAGACAACCAACACTCCACATATCCACTTGCGTATTGTACCGTTTTCCAACCAGAATTTCCGGAGCCACGAATGCCGGTGTTCCACATCTCGTTTTGAGCCCCTCCTTCGGAACATACTTGGCAAAACCAAAATCAGCGACCAATATAGTGGAATCATTATGCGAACTTTTTAAAAGGAGATTTTCTGGTTTCATRTCTCGATGGCAGATATTTCTCTTGTGCATGTGCATCATGGTCTCCATTAGGATGGCCGATAAGGCCCGCGCATCCATCTCCGAATAAGAAACCCGTCTCGCCAGTCGGTCAAAAACATCTCCTCCCTTTGCATAGAATTGCACTATGTAAAACGTTTCTGGAATTATGTAGACATCGATCAGCTTGACAATGTTTTCGACACCAATCAAATCCTTCATGATGCCAATTTCGCGAAATGTGGCAATGTCGTCTTTCTCTTTTAGTTTGGTTCGGTCGATGACCTTGACGGCAAACTCTTCACGSGTTTTCCRGTGGTGAGTGGTGTATACAGTGCCGAAACTTCCCGATCGGAGTTCCTTCTCGAGCTTGTAGTCGCTTTCGAAAACGTATTCTGTTTCACCGATCTCGAATGCTTCGAGTGTTGCCCCCGGGTAGTCGGACGCATTCCTTGAGATCGCCATGATCAATTGGTGTTTTGATTCTTTTCCTCGCAGTGGCTGCAGTGCRAGTGATATTKTATTGYCGCCCTTTTTAMACCCAATGATGATCTGATGGGAAGCATAGGGGGATGATGCTATTCGTTATTCATACTTTTCTTCTCGATAGCAGCACGGTAGGGTACCGTACCGTACGTACGGTGCMATTAGCGTTAGGGTGAATGTACAAGTCACTTGTGAAGTAGTAGTACGAGTACGACTACGAGTACTCAACAMTACCAAATGCGCTTCAAAAATTCCTGTACAGTTTGTRCAGGATCGTACGTACTACGTACTGTATYTCGTACTGTACAATATTAAAAAAGATGGGATGAAACGAGCGCGAACCAGGTTTTAGATTTTTGGACTTAAACGAATTCTTTTTTGGCCAAGCCAGGGGTCATGACCACTGGGCTAAGCTACGTACCCGTACCGGTACGAGGGAGGAAGGCAAATGTGTGGCACAAATCTGGAATCGGTTATGAGTACAATAGAAACACGCAGGTTTTAGCAGTCAGAAAACAACCACCAGCACAAGGTTTTTTCTCACCCTCCAGACTCCAGATGCCGATACAAGAAGTTGCTGGTATGAAAGAGCCACTAATACTGAGATTCTGATATGGAGGATTTTGATTAAGAGGATACTGATACTAGTAGTCGCTGATACCACAGAGGAGCTGCTGGTGAGGATACGACAGCAGCATGGTCGTCCTCCATGACTGGTGATACACAGGAGGAGCTGCTGATACGGAGGATGATGATACAGAGGAGCTGCTGCTGATATGAAGGAAGAGCTGCTACTGATACAAGGGGGATTGTTGATACAAGTTTATGATATGGTGGATGCTGATACTAGGAGTTGCCAATGCGGAGGAATTGTTGGTCTACTACAATTACAGTCCACCATAATTGTTAGTAGTAGTATGGTCTACAATTGAGGAGGTCTAGTACTAGGAGTACAATGATTATGTCAGTATTGGTGCTGATGCACTATAGGGGGGGACTTGCTGATACAGAGCTGCTACAGAGGATGCTGATAAAAATTGCTGTTATGGCATCCACTGATACAGACAGAGGAGCTGCTGCTGATACAGAGGAGTCACTGATAGTAGTAGTATGAGTCGCTGATACAAGTTGCTGAAACAAGTTGCTGATACTTGGAGTCACTGATATGGAGGGCACTGATACAAAGTACTTGCCCCCTCAAAGAGCTTAGAATAATATACACTGTTACAAATAATGCAAAGCTGTTATTTTCAAGAATTAGTACCTCCATCATATGTCTGTTGAATATGCAAATTCTTGCCTTGTGCTCCTTGATGATGCAAGAAGTAATAGTACTGCTAAATTGATGTAGCAGATTTTCTGCTATCACAGCATGGTAAAAGTAGTTTGCCAGGAGGAATCCACACAATGTAGATGTATGTAGAATTGTACACATTTTCCTACTGTTGCATTATTGTTAGTTGCTTTTTCTCTTAATACTCCCACTGTAACTTCTACTGAATACTGGAACTATTGGGTGATATCATCACTTCTGTTATTTCTTCCCTTGTCTCCATTATGCAAGGTATCAGTACAGTAATATGATCATGCCATCATCACTTTGGCAGGACCAAAAGTCCGAGTTGTGTTTTCTTGCAGTCAATCATATAGCTACTATGACTCCAAGGAGGAGCATTTTTCACCATGAGTTGTCAATTACTACAAATAGTATTACAAGAATTGATGACTCAGGCAATCTTTTGAAACCACCTGCAGATCCTAGTACAGGGGGGGAATTTCGCAAAATATCAMAAAACCCGGCCCAAAGGGAGCAGAGGGACCCAAGGATTCCAAATACGGAAGGACCCTATCAGTTCTCTAAGCACTAACTGTTGCCATAATTTTTTGAGGAGTAGTAAGASTTTCGTATGAATAATACTGCACGTACGCTGCGTTTCACATTATGTGTAGATTTTTTAAAAAACATTCCTCTGTATTGATTGATGCATTCATTTGCAACGTTGTCAATGCACGAGAGCTGGTTCCKCATCAGATCAGATCGATGAAACGCGATGCATTGGTAGGCACGCATTTTAGTTGTCGTGTCTCCGTTCGTGTTGGCGTGTGGTGCCGGGCGGAAAAGAAAATGGAAGGCAAACAATTGCATTCGTCTTCTCGGGATCCACCTGTTGGTCAATCAGGTACTGCATTTGTCGTAGTAAAGCGTAGCGAAACGCAGTGTTGCCTGGCAGCCCTTCTCTCACCCCCAAACTGAGAATATTTGGGGACGCAACGTCATTTACAGACACGAAAGACTGAAACCCAGCMGTTCAGTATGAGAGCCATCACAGGGGCGCGTTTCTTTGTTTCGAACAGAACCGTGCTACATTTTTGGTTCTCCAGTTTCGTGCCGGCTCTCATGGCCACGCCGAGGTTCTCATGCGCCGGAATTCCCTTCGCCCCGGCATGGTCATTTCGATCTGCTCCAGTTCGTCCTGATCGGACGCGGAGAGCCTCCTCCGGACCTCTCTCTGCTTTAGTAGAGACCGCACGAGGTGTTGGCTGAGCGTGTACTTCATGTTGCGGTCCATCTCGGGGCGTTCCCTCAGGTATTCCCGGAGCTCTTCCTGGTCCCAGACCAGGACTTTGCAGTCGCCATGGGTGACCACGGTTCCGTAGGCTCCGGCGTCCCGGTTCGGTTCGTCGCTGCCCTCTTCCTCTCCCTGCATCTGCTGAAACGCCACGTCGTTGACAAAGCCTCCCTCGTCGACATAGGCCGCAAAGGTGCCGTGGTGGTAGACCTTGGCCTGGCCCTTTTCGATAAAGTAGAGATAGGGCGAGACCTTGCCTTCCTTTGTCAGAACGACCCCGTCGTCGACCTCCCGGGTGCTGGCCTTTCGCACCAGGTAATAGAACTGGCCGGGTGTCAGACCGTCCCTAAARTGCTCCTCGTATAGGGCCCGCTCCTCGTCCGTCAAGAGGGCCCCGATCCACTGGTCCACAAAGAGGAGCGCCGCGGCCCCGGCGTTGACCACCACAAAGAGGGCCGACCAGCGCAGGGGGATCTGCAGGGGCTTGGGGTGGAGGGCGTGGAAGCTGACGAGGCCGGCGTATCCGCCCACCAGCATGAGGCGCAGCTGTAGCATGTCCGTCATGAGAAACCCCGAGGCCAGTGCCTGGGGAAGAAAAGAAAAGAAAAGAGAAGGAAACGAGGTTGCGGTTTTCGCGAGCGAAAACAGATGTGCGTAAGAGAGAGAATTCGTGGTTCGCCGCMAAAGCTGGGGTAGGGGTACCAGAGATCCAACGATCTCACCCACCGTCCGGTGGTCCCTCCTGCCTCTCTCTCCCCGCGTCCGCATTTAGCGCGCCGATCGGTGCGGGACTTACCATGTAGGCCCCGTTGCCGATGAGGGGCAGGGCACCGCGGAGGGATTCCCTAGAGAAGGCGGGCAGGSCCCGCGAGAGCGGCCCGCCACCGCTTGTGCCGGCGGCCGCGGACGAGCTCGCCCTCGCCGCCACCTTCCGGAGGCCAGCGGTCCCCTTTCCCGCCGCGGAGGTCGGGAGGGGCTTGGGCGGGGAGCGGTGGGCCGAGCGCTGCTGCCGAAAAACGCACCGGGGGGACCGCAGGGTCCGCTCCGCGGCGGAACGGAGGGATTGCCGGATCATGGTGCTGGCGGATCGCTCCTCTGTCGGATCGAATCGAATCGAAYTGTGATCGATTCGTGGTGATTCCTGTATCGAACAAGCAACTCGTGCAACAGACGTTTCGATGGTTCGTCGAAAATTTGTGTGGTTTCAGATTCGRAATGCAGTGGGAGACGGAAATCCAGCGACGGTGGCCTCGGAATGCATTCTTTGGRGAATCGTCGATCGTCAAAACAAGGCTGTCTCGCCGAGATTCGTTTCGTGTCCACCAAAGAAAAGGGTCGAGAGTTGTACGATTCACGCACGGGTTGCACCCACTAGGGTACGAGTACGAACGATACTACTGTACGTTACCAGGTACTGTACAGGAGGCAGTACGTTTGGCGCTGCGATGATGTACTTTCGAATGGATTGTTTGTCGTCTTCGSTTTGTTTCTCCCGTTTCTTCCCGACCTGACTCACGTGTCGTGTCCGTCTGAGATGGTGAGTTGTGTTTTTACGTCTTTAGTTCTTGCAGTTTCCGTTATGAAACCAGCGGCGAGGAACAAAAAGACACGGGGGGAGGTGAACCCGCAACATAACAGGTGCATTCCTAAGAATCCGTCGTCCCCGTCATCCCCTCGAGGGGAGGTGAACCGTATCCTTGACCCTTGTTCCGCGATTAGTCACGTCAAGGTGGGAATCGGTGAGGTGGAAATCCGGCCACGTTGCCCACGAAGTGTGAGTAGATCGACCAATCAAGAAAGAGAATTATTCGAGAATTCTCGCACGAATCGACGACCCGATCGAATCGTACCGTAGGGACACGAAGAAGAACCCTTTCTTTCAAATTTCAAACCCTGCATCTTCTTACATACTCATATGATGTGAGGGTACGTACATATCTTAGAAGGGCTCCCTGTTTATTGTTTATGTTTGATGTTTGATGAGAAAAAGGGGCGGGTAGCGCGTAGCGGGTAAAGTACGTACCAAGTACTCGTATCAGCCAGCGGATTTACTTTAGGACAGTCTAGAACGAGTACTCGTTCGTACCTAACGTACCAAACAGTAGGAGGTACGTACAGTTATGTACCGTACTCCCACCCGCTGCCGCGCCGTGCCCCATTCCAGTGGTAGTACGAGTATTGTACTGCACGACTGGTACTGTACAGTGTCGTACTGCTATGAGAAGGAGAACCAGCATCCAGCATCCCCTGTCGAAATCATCAATCAYCAACAAGATATTATTTCATCAGGCCAATCATCGACGGTTCCCTTCCAAAGCTCAACAGAACCGATTTGTTTTGGGCCGAGGGATCCACCCTTCTGTAGAAGCAACGCACCGCATTCGGATCGTTAGCAACCTTCTTATCTGGTTTGCAAGCAGCGAGGCAGCAAGGCATACTCTCGGATTCTGGAAGTAACCACACCGCACCGTACGCTCCACCGAGTCCAACCGGTTTGGTGTCCAGCCAACACCTCCCGGACGCGTTCGATACCAAGCAATTGCATCTTTTCGACGAACCCATCATCTCAAAACGAAACGAAACGAAACGAAACGAAACGAAAACAACCCGATCTTAAAACCGCAAAGAACGCAACAAAGTCAGCCATGCCCCGTCGCAAACAGACGCGGGACGCACCCAACCGGCAACCGCCTTCGGTTCCCTTTCCCACGGGGGACCCCGCAGGCATGGCCGCAAACACCAACAGCAACAACCCGTTTTTCCGAAACATGGCACCGGTGGACTACCTGGCGGCGAACGACCTTTCCCTGGGGCTGATGGCCGGAGGCGGGGGCAATTCGAGCGGGCTCCAGCCGATCAACGTCAATGTCAACGTCAACGCCAACGTCAACGCCAATGTCGGGATCCCCGTTCCCTCCCCGGACGCCATCGGGCTGGGTCCCGTGATGGGTCCCGTGATGGGTCCCGTGATGGATTCCGTGATGGATCCGAGGGAAGTTGTTGTTCCCGGCGGGGACCGCGTGAGCATGGCCGCAAACGTGAACGTAAACATCAATGCGAATCCCCACGGCGTTGGTCCCTACGGCGGAGCCGCTGGATCCTATCCCGGTCCCTACCCGGGGCATCCCGGCTCTCTGGTGGATCGCCCCCACTCGTCCCACGAGGCTTCCTACAATCCTTCCCCCCTGGCGGAGGCCGGCGGGGAGACCGGCGTCTTTCGCACCAGCACCACCACCAACAACACAGGCGAGGATTCCTTCGGATTCGGCGTCGCGGGCGGGCTGGAACTCGAACCGACCCCCATCGGGCCGGGGGCAACGGTGGAGCCACCGCGGCCGGCTGCTCCCGCCCCCATGTATTTGTCCGGGCTGTCCCCGTTGCCGCTGAGACCGGTCGAGCCGGAGCTGGCGATGGSCCCGGGAATGCCGTCCCTCCCCGAACCACAGRCCCTGTTTGCGCTCAACCCCTCGCCGCCACTCGCCGCAAGCAAGCCCCRGGGCAGACCGAGGGGGAGGCCACGGGGCAGGCCGCCGAAGGGGAGACCGAGGGRCAGGCCGCCGGCTGCCAAGAATTCGACCAAGCGGGCCCCGCAAAGCCCCAAGCCTCCGGCCGAGAAACCCCTGCCGGTGCCGTCTCCCGAAGCGAAACCGGGCCACCGGGAGCACCCGCACGAATCCACCGGGGCGGCGGACGTGGGGAGTGGAGAGGGGGCAGTGGGCACGCCCTCTTCGGGGCCAGAAGAGCCCCCCGGTCCCGTCCATGGTGCCAGCGAGCCTGCCACGGACCGGCAGAGTGACGCTTTGAGACCGAAAGGAGCTGGCAGCGTTCCCGAGAAAAGCAGACCCGGGAGCAACACCAATAGCGAACCGGTTGCGGAGCACCAGGGGGCCAAACCCACGGGCAAGGGGGGCCGCGGAAAGGGAAGCCGGAAGAAATCCGGGGTAAATCATCGATCCGCGTCGGACGGGGAGCAGCAGCAGCAGCAACCCCTGAACGATGGCGGGCGAGAAAGCAAGCAAGAAGCCGATCAATTGGAACCCAAAAAGGGTGCCACCGATTCTCAATCGCAATCGCTATCCCAAACCCCGATGGCCGACGGCGTCCGCAGAAACAGCAACACCAGGAGGAGCGGGGCCGGCCGGGGCCGCGGCCGGCGGAGGTCCTCGTCGTCCCGGCAGTCGCATTCCGCCGAGGGCACCGACGATGACGAACCGGACCAAGCCGATTCCGAGCACGGGTTTGTCTCGGTCGAGGCGCGGACCCGCCGGGCCCGGAGCCGGCTCGTCCCCCGGACCCAGCTCATCATCGCCAACGACGACGAGCCGGAGCGGCTGACCAATCCCCTCCTTGCGATGGTCCCGACGAACCTGCGCAGGGAACAGAACGAGCTCGCCAAGAAACTGAGGAGGGATCTGGCAAGCGCGGAGCAGGGAAGCAGACAGGGTACGATCGGTGGTGGATCATCGCTGGTGGCCGCCGCAGCGGCGCTGGTGGCTCGCGGCAGCGGAGGCAGCGGCCGGGGGAGCGGAAAGGGGAGGCGGCAGAGAACCGCCGGCAAGGACGATTCGCCGGGAAGCAGTGGGTACACAGAGGGGGACGGCGGTGCTCCGAAAGCAACCGGAGTGATCCCGGTCGAGGAATTCATTCGGTCGGCCTCGATCGTCTTCCACCGGCCCGATACCTACCCCCTGTCGTTCCTGGCGCGGCTCCTCGGATTCGATGTGGACGTACCYGATTGCACCGAGATGCTGGTGCCCAGCGGCGGCGACACAGCAAGCGCTGGCAAGGAGGTATCACCGAGCCTCCCCAGGTTTCCGACGCCACTGCCGGATCCCCAGACCCTGCCCCTGCGCAAGGACAGAATGTTTCTTACCATTCCCAAGGAAGAGAACCTATTTGGCAACCAGCAACACATGCACCGTCGGAAGAGGACTGCAAGCAATCGTTTGGGTGACTCGGACGATCAGCGGGTTCTCGATTACATGGATCCCATCTACAAATTATTCTTGCAGCACGGATGGGAATCCAGTCGCTGCACGGCCGCACCCCGCCCCAAATGCCTCAAATTTATCAACGAACAGCGACAACAAGAATCGATCCGGCAGAAAGTAACAGAGATGGCACGGGAAGTCTTGGGTCTGTCCAGAGACTGGACATTTCAGGACTGGGGGTCCTTTCAATCGCAATCGCAGCGAGAGGAAAGAGAAAGGGAGCAGGCCAAAGTCAACGGGGTTTCGAAATGCGATGCCACCGCCGCTGATGGCAGCTGTGCCAGCGACGAATTGCARTCTCTAGAAAGTGCCAAGGAAACCCCGGTGCCAAGCTCTTCAACGCTTTCACAGCATCGCCGCCCGCGCCGCCAAGATGCTTTGCCTCTTTGGACAATAGATGGCAAACAAGTCTTTCGTCATATGCCCCAGCATGTCTTCGGAATATTGGCGTTGCACCAGGGACAGCCCRTTGCCCTTCTCAGGTATCAACTGCATTGGTACCGATTGCCAACATCTAGAACAGCAGAGCACAACCAAGACGAAAGCGGGAGGAGAGAGGACGAATTGATCATGATTATCGATGGGATTGGGTATCCAAAAAGTGACCCTGCAGATAAAAGCGATGGCACCAATCGCAGTGCCGATGGTGCAAATAATAGCGAGCCGACTGGTGGAAAAAGCGAAGGCAATAAAGCTTCGGGCATAGAATTGCCCGAAGAAAAAAGGAACAACGTGTGCCTTGAAGACGAAACGACAAAAGGGATGATAGATAATGTCTTTCGAGAAGCCCCTTCTTTGCCCGTCGAAGCTACGCCCAACGACGAAATAGAAATTGTAATGATGAYRCTGGCATTGGAGCACACGAGGGCATGCGGCGTATTTTATGCAGTCTGGGATACGCCGGAACCGTTTGTGGCAAAAAATGAATGTTTTTTCCGTATGGTAAAGTTGCACCGGAGTGATACCGTTGAAGTGCCGAAAGAAGGTACGGTACAGAACAGCCATGTCGAGGAAAAGGCAGGAAGCACAGATAAGCATGCATCAGGGAGCTTCAAGTTTCAACCAATGATATGTGATTTGAAGAAATGCAGCTCGCGGCTTGCAATATTGAAGCTAAAGGAAGGCAAAGAAAGAGGAACTAGCTACCATGAGAGACAGAAAGAGGCGACTGCAAAAAACGAAGATTTTGGTTCGTCCCCGATGCGTCTTTTAGTTGAGATGCCATCTTTCGCGAAGGCTAGCACCTACTTCAACAGTGCCGACGTATACATGGACTGCCGTCACTCTAAACGAGGTTTAGATACAGAATCAACATGTACAAATATATATTCTGGAGCAACAGGTCAGACAAGAGACGTTTCGTTGAAACTAAAAGCAAAAATCGACCCTAGTGACGAGAGTCAAGTGGGCGTTAATATAGTCTATTCGAATGAGGGTAGCCAATGGAGAACACAACCCGTGCATTCGTCACAAGCAATGAAAACACCACAACACGCAGCAGAGGGCGAAGTGAAAGAGTGCGAAAGGAAAGGGAAAGGATGCGGAAATGAAAAAGAAACTTGCATTGAATTGAACGAGAGTAATTCTGAGGGGCACATATCTTGGAACTTAATGAAATGCTTTCCAATCATGGATAAGCTTTCACATAGTCCTGGTGAGGCAGAGAATGAGATATTGAATAAGCTGACGATGAAACAAAACGCATTGATTGCAATGGAGGGATCTTTGGAACCGCAGGCCCGCAGACTTCTTACCAAGACAATAGAAGAAAGAATTAAGTATGAATCATCTGAGTCTGTTGAGCGGCGTAGAAATACGAAAAATACCTTAATGAAATTCCAAGACTACCTGTTTAAACGAAGGAAGATTGATCAAGTCCGCCAGGAGCTACGAGAGGAAGACATGGACGCAGTCTGCTCAATATGTCAGGATGGTGATGTTTCGCCAGACAACCAAATTCTCTTCTGTGAATCGTGTAACATTGCGGTTCATCAAAAATGTTATGGAGTAGAAAGAATCCCCGAAGGTGACTACTACTGCATTGCTTGTCGTCATTTTGAACGCGATAAGATGATTCAGTCATTGTCTGAGACTTCGCGTCTGCAAGCGAGGGCCGACCTCTCCCCGTTGCCGATTGTTTGTGAACTCTGTCCATCAACTTATGGAGCTTTTACTCGSCTGCAAAATCCAAAAGCAGATTCGGATCCCTCTGATGTAAAATGGGTGCACATGATGTGTGCAAAATGGCAAGGACTAGATTTTGTAAACAAAGGGGATGCGTCTCTTGTTGAGGATACCACTCAACTGAAACAGTCATATCGACGCAAAAATGTATCTTGTTGCATCTGCAAAGGGTCGAGAGGTGCGTACGTAAAATGTAGGGAATGCGATAATTGGTGTCATATTACTTGTGCCAGAGAAAGTGGCCTATGCGAAGTAGTACACGGGGAGGACGTGAAAGGCATTCCAATTGAAGACAATCCTTGGTCGATACTGTGTCCAGAACATTCATCAGTTGAGAAAAAACAAAAGAATTCAAAGCGGATTGAAGAGTTGATCAAAGCTTCGAAARATCTTCCTGATGAGCCGGAGCCGCCACCCTTACTCGAGGAATTAGGACCATACAACAAGCTMACGGGGGAACAACGCAAAGTGGCTCTCTCTGTCAGAGAATACGAAGACAAATATATTGCAGATATTTTGAAGACAAAACTTTCAGGAGTTAGGTGCGAAGTTTGTGACACTATCGAGGACATTCATGGAAGAAATCTTTCACGCTGTGAAGTTTGTGGCAGTGTGATCTGCCATACATGTGAGTTGTTTCCAGAAAATCCTGGCCAGCGATCATTCAAGTGCTTTGGCTGTCGTTTTCGATCAGAAAGAAAGGGTGAATCAGAACCACAGTGCAGCATGTGCAATCAAAAAGGAGGCATTTTGGTCAATGCCACCTCGGCTCCAATGGATTTTAAGAAAGCTTACTGGAATAAAAACGAAAGAGAATTTGAAAGATCCTTGTACAAAAAAGCAATGTGGGCTCATATATCGTGCACTTAGTAAGTTTTTCTCTGTTGCAGTATTCTCGGTTTMTGGATTTCGCACTTACCTCCCTTACGTATTTCGTGTTATTGTACTGAAGTTGGCTCAAGGATGTGATGATTGACCATAATGCCAAGACAGTTGATTTATCTAATGTCATAGCTGCAAATGGGAAGCATTTTATACAGCATAWTAATCGCTGTGGACTGTGTGGAATGAGAAATGGCTACAAAACGAAATGTTCCGCTGGTCGTTGCCACGCCCATGGGGAAATGAATAAGCCATACCACTTCCATGTGACGTGCGCAAGACAAGTTGGATTTGAGGTTTCGCACAATGAGGACGATGAATTCATCGGTAAGTTCATTTTCATTTGTCTCTACGGCACGTTATAGCTTTCATAATTGAAGTGTCCTCACCAACACCTTTTATCTTCTAGTAAATTGCTATATTCATGGGACYAACGAGAACAACCTTCGTGCAAGACTCGAAGATTTAATTGAAATGGAAAAGAAGCGAGCAGGAAAAGATTTTTCGAGATCTAATGCTCCAATGAAATTCAGTGATGGAAGCAAACTTCTGCATGGGGGCATTATGGTGATGCGAATATTGGGCTGGGCATGGCGTTGGGCGGAATGGTGGGTCCAATATGGATCCACATGGGAACCGCTGTTGGAACCAGGCCAAGATGAACTTATGATGACACCTGAGGATCTTCGGATCGTTGAAAGCACAGCAGAAAGCCGCATGAATGATGCAAGAAGATGCCGTTTGTCTGCGTTCGGAGCGGCTCTTCGGAACCGATGTTACGATACTAAAGATGGATTCAACAATGAAGCTTTGGGGCGCGCGCTCCGAGCAATTCTCCATACTCAAACCCTTGTAGGTCCGTTAGATGAATACGAAATTGCTTTTTTTTCGGACTTGYTAGCTAGGGCCTATCGATCAAAATCTAGATTGTTGGGGTTCGGGGAAGACAAAATACCTGTTGCGAACGAAGCCTTCTGCTTACATAAACAGGACAATACCCCCAAGTTYGAATTATGTGATCGTCCTTTACCTGGAAAGCAAGTCCTGCCCCTCGACCAGATATACGAAATTGGCGTATCAGAGCCAGACGACTTCTTGCTAAGCAAAAATACTGAAARCGATGGTCAAGTTGATCACGAAATGTGCAAGGAAATTGATTATAAGTACAAAGGAATGTTGAAAGTCGATAGTGACTCAGATGACCTTAGTTTGTCGGCAGTGATTGAAACAAGTCTGTTTGACAAAGAAAATAGTTATATTTTGACACAACGACGAGGACGCATACCAAAGATTATGAATCTACAGATAGTTGTGAAGGTGGCCGGTGAGAGAGTGGAGGCCAATCATTCCCCAAGACAGAGACATAGTGCAATTGGYATTTACAAAGCATCCGAAGAGAAGATGAATTTTGATACTGAAGGGTTTGGACATCTACCAGCGAAAAAGATAGAATTTCTTGAAGATATCCAGATACGATCACTCGCTCACTTCATGGCAACCCCGACAACAGAAATGGCCGGTCCGTACAACACATGGCGCCGAGAGAAAGGCTTGAACCCTTGCGTTGCTTCCAACACGATTAATAAATGGAAATCTGACGTCAGGAAGTATTACTGCAAACTTTTTGAAACAAATGGTAATGCTCCAGAAGATCATGGTATTTCTCCGTTTTCACCTGTTGGGCAAAAGCCAGAACCAATACAATTCGAGCCTGAAAGTCRATCAAATTCTAYTAAGAGGCCACGAAATAAGAGTACATCGTCAGAATCAGGAACTGAAATTTTTAGAACTTCGAAACGCTCGCGGTCACAWGTTGAAACGACTGAATTAGATATTRGCTCCAAGTCACAAGATGACGGGGGGCTGGGCATTGATATAGAATTGGACGTRGAAGACAGAGSAAGTAACAAGAGATCAATGTTACCTAAGAGAGGACAAAAAAYTGCCGGCTCGTTTGATTTAAAGAAAGTGGGTGGTAGCAGCGACACACTGAAGAGAAGGCGGAAATCAAAGGATCAGATGAAGACAGCAGACCATACAAAAGATMAGATACCCCAACCAAACCATYCGGTCAGACCCCGTCGATCCAACACATACCGAGCGGGTGCTCTGAGGGAAGTWGATGATGATAGAATTTCGAAACGGTCGCGGTCCCAAATTGAAACGACTAGATTAGACATTGGCTCAAAACCACAARATGACACGGGGCGAGGCATCGATATAGAATTGAACGTAGAAGACAGAGCCAGTAACAAGAGAGCAATGTTACGAAAGAGAGGACARAAAGCTGCCGGCTCGTTTGATGTAAAGAAAGTGGGTGGCGGCAGCGACACACTGAAGAGAAGGCAAAAATCGAAAGATAAGATGAAGACAGCAGACCATACAAAGGAACAGATAACCCAACCAAACCATTCAGTCAGACCCCGTCGATCCAAAACATACCGAGCGGGTGATTTGAGGGAAKTAGATGATGACATCAACGACACCGACTCAAATGGCTCTGACTCAGAAAATGRTGTCCCAATTGSTKTACCACGACCCGTCAAAACTAGGAACGATGTCGAACTTGAGATTTTCTGCGCKCTCCCTGAAGAGGCAATCTCATTCCTGAAAACAATTGATGTCACCACACCGAAAGCTTTTCTATCTTTTTCTACAGGCTACATTGCTGACACGTATTGTGACTACCGTAGGAAAATACGGCAAAAGCCTTTAAAAGGCAGTGGTGCAGCTGCTAAAGTAAGTAGTTGGAAAAGAATCGTGAAAAACGCAGCAATAGCCAAGGGTGAAATAGAGCTTGCCAACACGACATCTACTACTCAAGTCAAGAAAAAATCATCAAACAAGAAACTTTCGGTGGAATCAAGCATAGATGACGGTRTTGCTRATGAGTGTTATCTTTGTGGCGATGGAGGCGATTTGATTGTTTGCGACRGTTGTGATAAGMCATACCACWTGGAATGTGTGAATCTGGATGACGTCCCGCAAGGTCTCTGGTACTGTACGGATTGCAATGAGAATRACGAAGATAATGATACATGTGTTGTTTGCAATGATGGAGGGAAGTTGATCATCTGTGATGCCTGTGAAAACCCATACCATCTGGAATGCGTCGGTCTCCGTAATATTCCTAAAGAGGACTGGTTCTGTCCGAAGTGCTCAAAATTGAGACGACGATAAATGTCTTGTTTGTGCAGAGGGTGGCAYATTGATGATTTATGATGGTTGTRAGAATCCGTACCACGCTGGATGTGTTGGTTTRRGTGAAGTCCCTAAAGAAGATTGGTTTTGTCCTAAGTGCCGAGGTCGAGATTTCCAATGGAACCACCGTATTTCTTACAAATTTTATTCGGTTACAGCTGATGTTGGAAAACACTGYATTTCATTAAAATTTAAGCTAAGAAAACTTCTTTGAAACCCCTTATACTCTCTGGAATCTTTGCCAATAAAGCAGTAGTTCATTTCCTTTCATCCCTTATGAGGAGCCAAAGCGTCATCGCCCAACACCCCAAAAGGCCGAACGCGCAAGCGACAGATGTTGCCATGAGGGGGAAAAACTCCCATTTACCTTGGATTGGAACACACTCCAACAATAGAATGACGAATGAAACTACTGCAAGTGCATCGTGTTGCCTATCCTGCATCCATGGTGGGGGAGTTTTCAACAAATAGGACGTTAGCCCCATGTAGCACAAAAATGAACCAAGCTTGAACACCAATTCGACAGGGCGAAACAAGAGAGGAAATAGGCCCAGCAATCCCCAAATAGAACTTTGCCAAAAGAGCAAGTTGTGATACTCCACACGAGAACTTGGCTCGACAAGTATCGTCAAGGGCATGAGTGTCGTAAGTATGGCCTTTTCATGAACGTGGTAGGCCAACATGAATGAACTGAAGGAAACGTAAACAACAGCCTCGATTAGTTTCTTGTTCGTCAACCGAAGCGAGGCCATTTGGAGGCCAGGGATAATAGCTAACACCAGTAGTAGAGCGCAAACGAGAGGCGAAGGTTCTGGAAGGTACAATCCTTCGAGAAAAGTAGCAATTTCTGGCATAATTGGCATTAGTAAGGGAACCAAGCGACGGATCRTAGCCAGTAAGATGCGGTTTGCAAAGGTGTATATAGCCCAGACGTTACCAGCCCAGTAATCGTGCACTAATCCTCGACCGAAAGGGAAAAGACGCTTAAAAATTTGTATCACCTGCAACTTGGGATTCTTTTGGTTCTTCAAAAAAGGTATCCAAGGCAACACCAAAACGCTCCCCGTAACCAGAGCCAGCAACAGAAATTTTCCGGGGAGAAATTGCTTCCTTTTTTTACCAGGCGGAATTTCAGTCGTMAGACAATATCGTTCCAACAAGTAGCAGAAAAACAAAGGGCCCAATGGTAGGTATAAATGCTTCAGATTGATTAACAAGGCAAAAATAGCTGCCCCTGCCAAGTGGTAGAGGTCRTATTCGATCGGTTGTTTCGYGGCTTGATCGACAAAAACATTGTTTCCCATCATGAAACATCCCAAAGAAGACATCAATACGCCAATCATCATTCCGTTGTATTGAAAATGAATATGGTCCAACCACAGTAGAGCGGGGTTCAAGACGATCAACAAAAACGACGACACAGTAAGCTGGACAGGCATTTTGTAATGGTATGCCCAGCAAGCGAAATAGGAGCCGATCCACAAAATGCAGTCACCAAGGATAACGCTCGTTCGCTGGAAGACGACACAAGCCTCTGATGGCTCATTGTCAGTGTCGGGTAAGAGCTCGAGGCATCGATCTCCTTGGGGCAAGACAAGGTGTGTGATTGGATTGTTGGACAGAATGTATTCAAAAAAGGCAAAGGCCGGTGGATAGTCCAACGTATGGACGGTCCTCCCGCTARCGTCGTTCCAATACCATTCCGAGATGTCTACCTGGCGGGTAAGCGCCTTCCAATTACGGTGAACGTCAAAGTCAGTCGATCTATATGATGGAAAGAGAAGGACCTTGATGCATGTCATGATGAGAAAAAGGGGCGGTAAAATGTTTTCCGGATGCCCGAGAAAGGAAGGTACMRCCACCTTAGTCGTCCTTGATGTTTGTTGACTCATGCTTTCATCGGCAACGATACTTTTATCCGCATCAATAGTTTCATCTGTATCGATGAAAAACGATGGTACAATTGCTCTCTTCATATGTTGTGGTTTCTTACAAGACGGACCAAACTCTTATCGCTCCTCGTTCCGTGCCTTCTACGGAACCAAAGGAGGAAGCGGGTGCGAGGCTATCTACAGCACGCGGCACATGTAATTGATGAGATTGTTAATACTTTTGCAGAAGCAAGGTTAGAGATATGAAAACAGAATGTCTTCGTGCGTACTTTCTGTTAGGTCAGGTACGTACTTGTACTCGTACGCGCTTGTACTGGAAATTAAAGTTTGTGTTGTGTCTCACACATATGACCCCTGATGTCTGGTGTCATTCAAAATACGGTAGAGTGATATACTGAATAGGCTGGGCAATGCACAGCAATATTCAGTCCTGGTATGAAGTACTCGGAAGTACAGTACAGTACTTCTAGATTACAAGGGCAATTTTTATATGCCTCACCACAAAAACTCTAATACTGACCTGTTCATTACCGTACATAAGTAGGTACGTATCCATAATACTGTCCAGTAGAAGTATTTGCTATTAAAAATATACAGTACATTCCTCCTGATTCCTTCATAGTAGTACAGTAGTATATTACATAAATTCAGTTTATGGGAATGACCCAATAATAACAATTATGACCCATGCATCAAACTCCTTCCTTCCTGGCGGGTTCAAACGGTACCGGCCGGTAGGTCGGAATGGATTATCAACAAAATAGTTTTGGTCGAGATTTCTTTTGATTGAGATCATCATTGAGTTTTCTACCCCGAAGGAATACGTCTGTCCTTCACTCACAACAGCAGGATAAAGGATAAAACGTACGGTACACCTACGGGAGCTACTGGTGGTTCATTTACTGACAGAACATARAAAACTCGTACGGTAGAGTTTGGCAGACCATAATAACACAATGAGGACCAACACAACTCGAACACCGTCACGCCATTTCTGCAGCCTTCCGAACGCTCCTTGTTTCTTTCTAGCGAAGTTCAAAACAAAAGACTTTGCGCCGGTTGCTGGTTTGTACCTCCTGTTRATCGCCGGAGCATTTGAGCCCTGTCGATCGTTTCAGACGACAAGCTGTATCCATGGAAACATAATCTTCAAGAAATACTATTTAGCAGGGAAGGATAGGCATTCAAGRGGAACGGCAAAGAAGTGGAATATAGGATCACGAGAAGCATTGTCATCCTTGTTTGTCTTGAAATCACGCAAAGAACAAAAGCATTCCTTGTCGCATTTTTCGACCACCAATGGTACGAATGATAGCTCTGTCGGGATCGAGGAGGAAGATTGCGATGATTTGACATTTACAAGCAGACCCGCACGGCTCTACATCGGAGACACTGATGCCTACGGCGTTATGTACCACGGGAATTACATTCGATCATATGAACGCGCTCTGTACGAACTGCACACCCAACGGAAGCGAAAGCGGCAACAAGAAGACCAACTACAACTAGCAAACAACGACGACGCCGATGGCCATGATACGAACAACCAGAAGAACCCTGCAGCCGCKTCGCTCGTGTTGGATAGGTCAGACTTTCGCTTGACWCGCTGTACCAATCACAGGTTYAAATCGTCGCCAACCCTCGGAAGCCGATATGTCATACGGGGGACTTTGGTGCCATCTGGTGGCGACGACGACGGCGTGAGTGACTCACAAGAAGAAACTTGGAGCCTAGAGATGGTAGGAGTACGTTCCCAAGCATGCCAACAACGATTGCTGCGACGGCCGCAACCCTTCCGCTACCATATATAATACCGCACTGGTCACCATCGCTTCTGCGTCGGAATGCGCGGAGAAAAATCAGCCACACCAATCCCTTTCCGCGCGAGTCGAACCCTTTTATCCCTCCGACTTAGACGTCGAAAAGYCAGTGAAATRTCCCTCTGCGATGTACACCAATCGATTCACGATCCACCGGGACGAGTTCGATGCCCAGGGTCTCCTTCCCATGACGACTGTGCTGGATTTCTTTGAACGCTTGCGCACGGACGTGCTCGGGGGGCCGGACGAGCTTCGAAACCTGCAGGAAAACGACAATCTTCTGTTTGTWGTAACRTCCCTCAATGACTTGGAAGTATTGCACGTGTTAGATGATTTCGAGAATGAGAGCAAGAYGCGGAAGATAGTTAGACCCGGGGATGATCTGGAGGTTCGACTTTACGGCACCCCCAAGAGGAAGGGCATGCTGTTTGTTTGCGAGCAGGAGCTGTGGGGTAACCTTGGTGGTGGTATCGACTATGAAAAAAAAGATAGATCTATTCTACTCGCAAAAGGCATCTGTACGATCTGCACCATCGATAGTCTCAGTGGACGGCCTACGTCGAACATTCCGGAACGAGTAAGGGCTTCAATGGAGACGACGGCGAGTTTAACTCAGTCCTAGAACTAAGAGATTTGATGAGCTCAAGAATTCGATTCAACTTGCTTCAAAGCAGARACAGCATTGAATCAACCCTGGAATGTTTTACTTGGGTCTATTGTACAGCTGCAGACTAGAAAAATTGGAAGGCCATGACCTCGCTTTAAGACTGTAGAAAATCATATCAATTAATCCAATCGAGACATCAATCTTTGGCTTGAATTGCCCATTCCGCTACTCAAGAACTTTATTGTGACGTGCGATGCACTTGCATCATTATCGTAGTGCGCTTGTATAATATGTGTTGCACGCAGTAATGCTGTTGCAAGGGCATAATAGTGTTTTTGCAATGTAATGTTTTGTGTCATATTGTATCGTGTCGTRTCGTRTCGTATTCTATCCTGCCGAACTKTGCTGTACAACGTTTGTCAAAATTACTGGTCCGAATAGTCGCATTTTTTCGCTTCGTTGTTTACTCCATTCCGTCCCCCATTTTTTCGGCAAATGAGGTTGGCGATGCCTTTTTCTCTTTCGCCTGCTTTTGCATGGCAATATTGTCCTCAAACATCATTTGCTCTCGAATCTGGGCGTTCTCTCTTGATCGGCCGAGACCTTCCTTAATGTTGTTAACATTGCGAGAAAATTCATCCCCTCCGAGGACAGAGCCTTCCCGTTCAGGATCCCAAGAGGCACTCATCATTGAGTACGTAATACCCTTTYGGTGTATGGGATTGCATCCGCACCACATTTCGACGTACAAACGAAAGAAAGGAGAAAGAAAAATGAGGGACGGGCGAAAAGGAAAAARGGACACAATAATCGAATCCTTCACAACGTCTCCGACGTTCTTCTCSGGCAAAACAGGCTCATAAATCCAAACGTTGTCGTTTTCGTATCAATCCCACGCAAGGGATAGGCTTCGAGACATGTGGGCACGTACAACCAATCCGATCGCTAGCAAAGCGATCGTCGTTCCGGCCACCAATACGGGYTGGAATTCCATGTCCCGATAGGTTGCCATGTACCAGAAAAAGACAAAGGCCCCCATGGAACCAAAGAGCGGGATYCCCACAAAGGGGAGCATGCGCTTTCCCATTCGCTGTGCGACCTTTTCGGGAATGACGGCGGCTTCTCCGCCCGACTCGCGCACCAGCTGGTCTTGCTGCACGACCTCGTTCATCTTTTGCAGCTCGGCGTTGCGCTGCTCGGCCTTTTCGCGGCGCATTTGCTCGAGGGCGGCCTTTCCGCGGGAGGTGTCGRTGGGTGTCGGGTTTCGGTCGTCGAACGGGTTGTAAATTTCCTTCTCCTCTCCTTGTTCTGGCTGTTGTTGCGCGCTGGCAACCGGAGGAGGYGACTTTTTCTTTTTCGGGGGTTCCGGCGCCGGGGTGTTTCCAAATCCCTTGCCGCCGCTCGCCATTTTCACCACAGTGGCGGGACTAGAAGACGTCTTCACCGAAGGCAATGAAAATCCATTCGCTGTGGTCGACAATGCTGCCATTAATACCACTGTTGTGGTTRCTGCTGTTGATCTCATGGTTGATGTTTTTGTAGTTTATCGGTTCTGTCGTTTTGATAGTTAGAGCGATACAATCTAACGTTAGTGTTGTCACTGTGTTCTATTCAATTCAATTTACGATGCTGTCGTACCGGTACGCTACCGTACCGTACCGTACGGCATGTGAACTCATCAAGGTTCAGGTTGATTGTTCAATTCAATTCATTTTTCACTCATCAAAAATCGTCGATCATGTCAGATGCAACGAAGTCCAGAGTTTCAAGTTTTCAGTACGAAACTTCCCATGGTTTTACGTGCCAGGTGGAAGTCATACTGAAACCCGTTGAAGAAGAGCAACTTGGAAATTGGTTGTATCTAAATTTTTTAGTCGAAGGAGTCGGAACAAAAATACACACGGTACCATTCAGGGAAAAATCGATTTGACAGAAGAATTCTGAAAAATCCTCAGCCAAAAAAGACAAAAAACTGGAAACCGAAACTTCCGTTTGACCATCGACAATCGTGCCTGTGGATATCGTCATATTCTTTGAAGCAAACAGTCACTTGCTGCAATACGGTGTGGTTCAATTGAATTCAATGGAACTGACTCGATTAATCTCTTCRTAAATCTAGAATATCGACAATGACGCACGATACTCTTACGAGATCAGATTGCTTCGCGGTGCTACTTTTGGTGGTGGCAGTTTTGCTGTTGCCAAACGATGATTCGTTGTCGACCGCGTTTGAATTGTCACCAGTATCGAAGGGGAGAGTGCAGCGGCTTTCCGTACCATCAGCGAATGCACGACAAAAAGAACGCCAACGTCAACGTCAACAGCAGCAGCAGCAACAACAACAACATTGGGCAAGCGATTCTTCGTGCACGAGTTCCCATCCCCGTTCTTTGTTTTCCCTATCGAGCTCCTCGACGAGCCACGAACAACAACACCCGGGAAGTGTTTCGGCTTCCGACGATCGGCGGAACCAGTCCCTCGAACAGGGGCACCACCCGCTCTGGTCACTCAACCTTAACCTGGATTCGATGGCACAGGCCGGAGCTGGAAATCGTGCCCAAGAACTCCTAAGAAGGATACACGCACTATACGAGGAGGGGTACTACGAGGTTTCCCCCGACATTGTGTCCTATAACTCYGTTTTGAAAGCTTGGAAGGAAGAAGAGGAGCCGGAGGCCGCCCTGGAACTCCTGGAAACCATGATTCGAAACGAAAAAGAGGGCGCGCAACGCGAAGCCTTTGCGAAAGTGCGATCATCTTCCGATGCGAACTCCGCAAAGGACAAGAGTGACAAAACCATTCGAGTAGACGTCATCTCCTTCAACACGGTAATGGCCGCATTCGCCAACCAGGGAAACCACGACAAGGCCCTCGAGCTYCTGCGAAAGATGCAGAACAAACCAGACAAGAAYAGAGGCACCGRCACGGAGGAGAAGGAAGACGACTATTTTTACCCCACMCCAGATACCATTACATACAACATTGTTTTGTACAGCCTGGCACAATCCAACGACCCTGGAACGGCGGCCAAGGCAGAGAACCTTTTGAGGGAGATGATGATGCAAAAGGAACGAACGGGTCTCTCGGTTGTCGACACTATGAGTTTCAACACGGTGCTGTATGCCTGGTCCCGGGAGGGAGAAAAGAAAGATCACAATCCGGGAACCACCGGAAAGAGCGGCGTTCGGAAACGACCGGTGTCTCCCAAAATGGCCGCCCAGCGTGCCGAAGACCTTCTCACCATAATGGAGGAGCTGTCCGAGGCCGGGAACCTGAGTGTCCGGCCCGATGTGTACTCCTACACCACGGTCATCCAGAGCTGGTCTAAATGCGGGGAGGCGAGCGGAACCGACAAGGCCAGAGTGGTCCTGGAACAAATGGTCGACAAGGGCCTCCAGCCCAACCAGTTGACGTATACTGCCCTCATGAACGCTCTGAACAAGGCGGGGCAGCCCGAAAACGCCGAGTCCGTTCTCCGCCAAATGATTGCAGCGAACCACCAGCCCGATAMCGTGGCGCTTTCGTCGATCATCGACGGCTGGGCGAGAGTCTCCAGCAAGGACCGACCCGAGGCCGCCAAGCGGGCCCTGCAGATCCTCGGGGCCATGAAAAAGAAAAAGGATTCTCCGTGGATGCGACCAACGGCCCTCACGTACACCTCGGTCCTTACCGCACTTGCCAAGAGCGGAACACGGGATGCCTGCGACCAAGCCCTGGACCTCCTGGAGGAAATGGAGGAAGCYTATGCCGCGAGTGGTGGTGACGACTACGACGCAARCAATGTTGTTAGCAGTGGGATGGYCGACGCGAAACACGACAAATGGTCGATCCGCCCCAAAAACATTCACTACAACTGCGTCCTAGACGCGTACGCCCGGAGTTCGAGGGCCGACAAAGCCATCAAGGCCCAACACYTGATGACCGTGATGGAAAATCACTCGCGATTGGACTGCCGACCGGATACCATTAGCTATAAGTGAGTTTGGAAAGCAATAGTCTCACCGTGCTTGCGTGTTTGCGAACGTGATGGTGTACCCTTTGGTACACTATGAATGGACCCGTTGGAGTGAATTTGTCAACCAATCAGTCCTTTGTGGCTAACCATAACTATGTTTGCAATCTTTYGTCGCAGCTCTTTGATGATGGCGTGCGCGCACGCCACCGGAAACCAACAAATGAGGGAACAATCCTTTGAGATCGCCCTCCGAACCTTCAAAATATTGGCATCCAAGGGTGGCACTACGGGCAGCATACAGCAGCGAGAACAACTTCTTGCACACAAACCTGTGTACGAGCTCTATCCAACCTCCGCTACGTTTGCGCATTTGTTTCGGGCCTGCCGAAAGCTTCTCCGCCCCGACAACGCCCGCCGGCAAACCATCCTTTCGAAAAGCCTTGTCATCTGCCAAAAACTGGGGCTGCTGAATTTCCTGGTGGTACACCAGGTTCAGCTGGCGTGCCAATCGGAGAGAGCATGGAGGGAAACCGCCGGAGATCTTTCCGAATACATCGGCTGGAAGGACGACTTCAAGCGGTGTGGCAAAACCGTTCCGCGGGAGTGGACCTGCAACGCTAGAAGGTAGCAAGGATGGGGATGGCAATCGATTGAATTGCATCGAAGGGATTGTAAGAGTAACGAGTAAAATAKACGAATTATTACCATARAATTACAAATGTAACTCCAGTATCTCATGCAAGCAAACCATGGATGCTYGGCGAAAACAACTGTGRATCTCGTACACTAATTTCCGATGTTTGGAACTCGCAAAGAACGAAACAATCAAGCAGCGTMAAAACCAAGACATCCCATTCATGGCTTCCGGACCTACTCTTCACTACGATGAGGTTTGGAACACAGAAGATGAAGAAATAATCATATGCGGATGGCACATTGCCAAASCAATCACATTGTATACAAAAACGACCTATCGTGYATTAGTACTGTTGTTAAAGCGTTTCTCCGATCGAGGCCAGGATCTTGTTGAGAGTTGGAGAAGGATTCATTGCCTTGCTAACCTTCTTGGGGTCGACAAGGTAGTACCCGCCGAGTTCCACCGGATCTCCCTGGCACTCCTTGAATTCCTCGACAATCGTAGCGCGAGCATTCGACAGGGCATCGAACATGGGCTGGTAGGTCGGATCCTCCTGTGCGAGGTAATCCGCCCAGTAGAGGGCGACATAGAAATTGGTCGCTCGGTTGTCGATTTGGTTGACCTTTCGAGACGGACTCTTACGGTTGTTCAGGATGCGTCCGACGGCCTTGTTGAGGCATTCGCCGAGKAGGACGGCCTTGSCATTGTCGGTCGTCGAACCGAGCTGCTCGAATGCCACCGCAAGCGCAAGGTACTCGCCCAGGCTATCCCATCGCAGGTGACCCTCCTCAACGAATTGCTGCACGTGTTTTGGAGCAGAGCCTCCGGCGCCGGTTTCGTACAAGCCACCACCGGCCAACAGCGGGACAATGGACAACATTTTTGCCGAGGTTCCCAGTTCCAAGATGGGRAAAAGATCCGTTAGGTAGTCACGGAGAACGTTTCCGGTGACACTGATGGTGTTCTTTCCGAGGGTGGCTCGTTCCATCGTGACGCGAATGGCATCGACGGGCTTCATGATGGATATGTCCAAGCCGCTTAGGTCGTGGTCTTTGAGGTACGTGTTTACCTTGTCRATCAAAGAACGATCGTGGGCGCGCTTCTTATCGAGCCAGAAAATCACCCGGTCGTTCGTGGCCCGGCCTCGTTCAATTGCCAATCGAACCCAGTCGCGGAYGGGCTCGTCCTTGGTTTGACACATTCTCCAGATGTCACCGTCGCCGACGATGTGTTSAAAGTAGACCTCACCGGTGTTGTTGTCAGTCACGGYAACGTGGCCGGCCTCGAGCTCGAACGTCTTGTCRTGGGATCCGTATTCTTCGGCCTTGCGCGCCATGAGTCCAACATTGCTGACATTTCCCATGGTCGCAACATCGAAYTGCCCGTGGGTCTTCACGTAATTGATCACTTCTTGGTACAGGGTTGCGTAGCATCTATCGGGAATGACGCACTTGCAATCCTCCAATTCCTAGCATACGGATCCATTTTCATAGTAAGTTTGCAAAAAAGGGTAGAACGCGTGAGTCTCGACTGCAAAAATCGGCACGAAACCCAAACACCAAAGAGAGCRAAGAGGAAGAGGAATGGTCCACGAATCGCATGTATTTTTTGTTACGTACCCCATCCTCGTTCCACATCATTCCCGAATCTCGAATGACGACGGGCATGGATGCGTCGATGATAATGTCGTTGGGAGCGTGCAAGTTGGTGATCCCCTTATCGGAATTGACCATGGCGAGCCAAGGACGGTCCTCTGTTCCGTAGGATCCCTTGAAATCCAGCATGATTTCTTTCTTTTTCTTCTTGTCGTCGACCTTGTTCTCCACGGCTTCCAAAATGCTGGCTAGGCCCTGCTTGGGGTCGGCACCAATCTCCTTCAGGATGTCGCCRTGCTTGTCAAAGACATCCTTGAAAAAGACCTTGATGCAGTGGCCAAACATGATTGGGTCCGAGACCTTCATCATGGTGGCTTTGAGGTGGATGCTGAAAAGAATGTCCGAGTCCTTGGCGTCCTCGATTTCGTCTGCCAAAAACGCAGTCAGGGCTTCTGCGCTCATGCAGGAAGCGTCGATGACCTCGCTCGCCTCGAGGGGGATGTCCTCCTTGAGAATGCGGGACGCACTTCCGTTCTTGGGTRTGAACTCGATCCGAACGCTGGTCGGCTTGTCTCCGATGATGGTCGACTGTTCCGACCCGTAAAAGTCGCCCTGTGTCATGTGCGCCACRTGCGTTCGGCTGGCCTTCGACCAGATGCCCATGCGGTGCGGGTTTTTCTGTGCGTAGGCCTTGACGGGGGGAGCGACRCGCCGGTCGGAATTTCCTTCCCGCAGCACCGGGTTGACGGCGGAGCCCATTACCTTTCCGTATCGTTGCTGGATCTCGCGCTCGGTGTCGTTGGATGGCTCGCGGGGATAAATCGGAACATCGTAGCCCTTGGAGCGCAACTCGCTGATGCAGTCCTCGAGCTGGTTCAGGGGAGCGGAAACTGGTCGTTGTTGGGTCGATTTTCGGATTCGATTTTCGGATTCGATTTTCGGATTCGATTGTCGTTTTGGATTGGCCGATCGGAATTTCGAGAAAGTGCGACGGGGTTTCATTTCAGAGCAACACAAACCGATTGTGGCACCGGCAGTTCCATCGATGTCAGTGCGAGTAGAATGAGCGGACGGAACGGGGTTAGAACATGCATGGTGGAATTCAGAAGCRCGCTATCGAACCCCAGAGGCCGATCGCTTGCTTCGCGCTTTTTGGAACAACAAGCAAGCCGACTTACTGTTGGGAAGCTTGATAATGTTGGCTTCCGGYACCTTCGCGAGTTCGCCGAGGTACGCGAGGTTGTCCGGAACGCGCTGGTTGGGTTCGAGCTTCTCGGGAAAGAGGGCCAGGACGCGTCCAGAAAGGGAAATGTCGCAGGGGACAATGTCGATGTCCGCCAGTGCCCCGATCTTGTTCACCACCGGAAAGAGGCTGTAGGTAGCCAGGGCCGGGGCCTCGTCGGTTTCCGTGTAGATGATGGAGGCCTGGGCACCGGGAAGAGCGGTGTGGGAATGGTTCGAGGTGGGGGCGCTAGGAATGTCGAGATCGGAAGCAGAAGCGGCATCGGAAGCAGCGAAGCGAGTGGTCGAAAACGATTTGGTCGCCATTCGAGAGAGAGCCGCAGTCTTGGAAGCAGCAAATGTGTGGGGGCGTCGGGTGTTTGCCAGCGACAAAGAACGGGCTGCTCTGGCCGCGCGATGCATCATCATGACTGGTTGGGTCGTTTGCTATCGGTGGATTTGTTGGAAATGGTTCAACGATGTGATCGAGCGAAGAAAAAGTTTCTTCGGAGCGGATWCTGTACAATGGATCTGTGCCGTCGTACCGTAGGAATGCCTTGGACGCACCGTATGGCAGAACSCCATTGGCCCCTTGCTCSCTGTCGTTGTGTACTGCACGGCGCCATTAGGCAATCGTGTTGCGTACCGTAGCATATCGTACGATCGAGGGAATGATGGATGAATATCTTCCTTCCTGTAAGGCTAGATCCGAGTTTCTCATTAATTTCTCCTCAGCTCAGATCAAGGAGAATAGTAGTACTGGTACCCGTGTAGTCAGTACGTACGTCCCGTACTCGTCGTACCCCTAGACGTACTTGTACTACCATAGGAAATAAAATAAAATTAAAAATYAATGACGGAAGAGGAAACTGCGGGAAGATTTCCCTTGTCAACGGACGACTGATCGAAAATGCAGGTTTCTCGCTTGGATCGTGTCTTTGACGAAAGACAGCTGTTCGCTGTTGTCCGATATATCCAATTAGATTTCTCCAAATGGAATATTTTTAGATAGTCTGCTGCCTTCGATAGTTCCACGTTGGTTTTAGAGCTATTGATGGTAAGTCCTGTAGTCGCAAGTTATTGGCAATCCCCGTACAAATACTAATAGAAAYTTTTAGCTCATTTTTACAGTTAAAAACCAGTAAAAAGGCATCCAACGGACAAAAATAAAAATATTTCCATTGTTTAATTTCTCTCTTGTACCAACATATTTTATTAGTGGTCCTTAATACTGGAGAAAAGCACTGATTTGATATTCCACCAAGTAGTAAGGACCAGAAATAGAAATATTTCGTGACTTGGTTATATTTTTTGTGGAGGGGGGGAGAGGGGAAATAAAGACGGGAAAATGAGAAAAAATTGACACCCCAGGAATTGCCACCAATAACTTGCGACTAAGGGACTTACCATTAATAGTCCTATTGGTTTGATCGAGTGCTTCACATAGCTTGACCATACCGCTGTACCGTACTCCTCTACTACTTGTACAGGCACAGGGGCAATGGGTGATTCTGGTTATCATGTTAAATATGCTAGTACTTTTAGTAATTGACTGACAGACTGAAAATTTATTACATGTGGTTACAGATTAATTACTTTTGAGATGGGTCCAACAACCCAGTTCCGAATATGATGGAACTCACAAATCAAAATTTTGAGTATGTTGTAATTTTCAACAGAAAGCCCGCCAGAATCTAGTAGTACTAGTAGTACTACTACTACAAAAGGAGAAGAACTCAGCAGCGGCAGTCCAACAAAATTAGTAGTGAGACTCAGTTCTTCTTATCCTCCACCTACTACTAGTATTGTACAACAGCAGCAAAGAGAGGAGGCACCACTATCAGGAGCCTCCTTTAAGAACAGTGGCACCTCTACTATTAACTATCATGGCACCACATGAGAAAAGTCCCAATTAGTGCTCCTCTTACTATTACTAGTAGTCACCAGTACCACATTCTATTTCCTTTCTTTGTTGCAGCAGAGAGAGCAATAACACCACCACCACCAGCAGGAGGAGGAGGAGCTTCTTGGTAATAGTACTAGTAGTACTAGCACCAGCAGAGTCACCAGCACCTCAATCCACCCCCATACTATTTTTGTTAAAATGGAGCAAACTTGCAACATCAGCCACAACAACAACAAGAAGGCCAGTGTAGCAAACTACTCTGTTCTTGATAAGTTAAATAGCATTATGGAATTGGTATTGGAGATGCTTCCTATTGATGGAGATCAGTGGGACAATAGAGGCACCATTGTTAAAAGAGGCACTTGATAGAGGTGTCACTTGTCACTGCTGCTTGTAGTACTACTATTACTACTACCAGTGTATTTGTTTAGTATGAGGCTGCTGAGTCTTAACTTTTGTTGTCTAATAGTTCTGTCTTAGATTCTGGYAGGCTTACTGTTGAATCTGCTTACAATGGTGGACTCAAAATTTTATTCTTGGGTTCCATCATAGTAGTAGTAGAAGAAGTAGCACATTTTGAAAGGGAGTCTTTRGTCTCTTCAAAATATGTTAAACCTATCTACACATAATRAGGTTTTGGTCTGTCAGTCTATCAAAGCTAGCACATTGCTGTGTTTTGAATACTAACAGGAATGGTCCATTTACTATTTGTTGTTGTACTGTAGTGTGAATTCTATTAGAAACTGGTGCTCTCCTGCTGTAGGTACAAGTACTACACAAAGTTCTCTTCAGCTCAGGCACATTTATTCAACGTAAGATAGCTACTGGTGCATCAGAATTTTTTGGGGGTACCAGTTATTTTGATATAAAATTACAGCCAAAATTAATGCGAAACRTTTGGCCACCCACTAGTGTAACTTTGGCAGACCAGTTCTAAGGCGCCAGAGCATCCTTGAAGGTTTGGACTGGCTGCTTAGTAGTAGAGTTGCTTTTTGATAGAGTTCTATGTCACACAAACCGGATCTATGGTATTGCACGTTTCACGCAGTTGACACCATCGAAGTTTCAGGGTCAACCCTTAGTCTTTCGTGATTGGATAATAGTTTAGAGAATTCCCGCACAACTTCATATATCCAGAACATGTTTCCGAAAACAAGCATAATTTCACTTCCAAAGCATGAAAAAACTCATCCTCTGCTTGGAACTTAGCTTTGTTCTTTATCATGCCCCCCCCTAGCTAAGCTAAAGGTATTCTGTCAAAACTGTTACGGCTCAAGAGATCGGAAGAACCAACGTCCCGTATTTTACAGTGCCAAGCATGACAAAAAATCCAGCGTTATCACGTCACCAAAGCTACTCACTCATCTTCATCTCAGCAAGGATTGCTTCAAATATTACGTGCATGTTGGGGACGGGACCCACAACTTCAGTTCGTCGTTGTTCAAAACTTCTAAGGAAAAGATCAGCGTTAGCCAGCGGTTTTGTTTAACTAATACCCAGGACAGACCATCTAGTGGCATGCCGCAGAATCTCGACAACCAAGTTATGTACAACCCATCCGTGGAAGTAGTTGATTGTGTGTTAATAGACTCTGCAATGGAATCCGTCGATTCTGATCTGGACGATGATGTTTTCTACGAACCTGCTAATCAGGAGGAGTGCTCCAACTCGGTTCTTGTTGATGTAATAAAACACCATTCGAATATCAATTGTTACCTCCCTCAACTAGTAAGGTCAAAATTAAGTTAGTAATGAAGATCATGAGAGACCACAATATACCCTTAGTCGCCAAAAGGGAGTTTTATGAATGGGCTATCGAATCAGAGAGGTTGTCAGGTTTCACCTGGAGTACTGGATCCAGTTTGATCAAAACTCGCCAATCTGTTCTAGAAGAATGCTACCAAGCAGTTCCTGAACTATGCGGTGATTGTTTTACACTGCAGCTTATTGAATGGCATTCTAACAACAAAGTCAGCGACAAAGTAATATATGTAAGGTCCTTTAGACAAGCATTGCAATCTCTCTTGGCCAATGTTTCATTAATCAAAGAAGAAAATTTATCTTTTCCCAATGAAAACAACCCCACTTCTCCTTATCGAGTTCCCGAATTTACGGCGGACTCTCTCATTTGCAAACTTCACCACGGGGAATGGTGGGTCAAGACGTGGAAAAAAAAATGTCATCCAGATAAGAACAAATTGTTGGTTCCCATTATATTCTACATGGACGACATTGCGATAGACAGACACAGAAGCACAACCCTTTGCCCATTGAATATGACTCTWGGTATATTCAGTGATTTTACCCAATCCACTAGGCCCAACGCTTGGGAGACTCTTTACTTCCACCCTCAAGGAAAAAGCAGTGTGTCTGTTGACAATGTAAACAATCTGCATAATGGTCTACGGGC